ACCAAATGCAAAAATTATAATTATTTAATTAACAATGCTATGGATTTCTAAAAATAGATTCAATCATTCTTGCATGGGGCCCATTTATATTTGATAAATAAAATCAAAAATGATTTTATAATAGTTATCATTTTTTAAAATTAACGAACTAATAAATTGTTGTTCTCAAATTGGCTGTGTGTTTTGTCCACAAATTCTCCAGTCACAACATTTTACAGTATGTCCAGAGAAGCACCTTATCTTGACGATGTGATACAGCGTTACATCAAATGCAAGGATTATTTTGTTTATAAAAAATGTAATTTTACAGTTAAACCAATTGGCTTAATTTAATAGTGGTACAATTAACTTCTTTCGGACATAAATTTAAAATAATTACCATGAAAAACAAAGATAGATGTTAGGTGACGTATTTTGACAAAGAACACTATTGGAACATGGAATGCTCCACCAAAGAGGTGATTGAAGAGAGAAAATTAACATTGAAAATGTCATTTTATAATGGATAGACAGCACAAATAGCAAAAAGTTAAAACCTCTTAAGATGCACCAAGTACACACACATACTTATACTGTAGTTATCTAGTCACAATGTCCCTACTCATGAAAATGACCCATTCCCACACCAAAGCAATATTCTAGTGTTTAGTACTGATGCTCACTCATAGCCAAATGTTTAAGCAAATCAACATTTTAAGATGTGAATAAGATGCTCAATTAAATCATAACGATCACATTAAAATTTATAGCAAAGTGGTAGGGTGCAATTTACACCTATGAATCTTCATATGGACAGTGTCCAGTTTCAGCCAGACTGGAAGCGGGAAAGCAACAAGCACAAATAAAGGGAAAAGAGTGTTCTTACCTTCTTCCATCCGGTTGCATTTTCCACTTGCTGTCGATACTCTGGTATTGAAAGGGGGCCTTTGAAGAATCCAATACTGTTAAGGAAGACACCTCATGTAATCCTTTCCACTCTATGTTCTATATAGACATTAAGAATTTGGGGGGGGGGGGGGGGTCTTTGCAAGAGAGCGGAGACTCCAGCTAAAATGAACAATCTACCACAATTGGGAATATCAATATATCGGGACCAAATGGTTGTCCTCATGATTGATTTTCCAAATACATACTAAAAAATATAAAAGTAGAAGTCATTCCTGACAATAAGGGGATATCAGTGATTAAACATTTCAAGCCTTTGAAACAGGTATTGCTGCACAAGATTAATAGGTATGAATCGAGGTGGGGAGGAGGGAGTAATTTAAGTGGAAATAAAATGGGTAATTCAGAGGAAACACAGGGTTCATTGCATTGGGAAAAGATGACCAGTTGGTATAGCAAGGATAAAGTATTGAAAGTGTTGGCAGAAGTGGACCAAGTTACCAATAATAACAAACCTGGATGGTATTTCTTATAACATGTAACAAATGGGCTAACATAGAAAGATAGTATGCACAAAATGAAAGCGTACTATAAAAGCCACATGAAGTATTGTGTACTGTTATGGTATCTGAAAATATCTTGACATTGAAAAGGGTCCAATGGTAATAACCAAATTGATATGTGTAATTATGCTCAATTATGAGAAAATTATATTAAGGGTGGGATTTTGTTGAAATTTTCTAGATCCTGAAGATTATAAACAGCTTGATTCATATGATAATGTTCGCAAGGGGCCACAATCTCAAGCCCTGAAGGTGAACAAAAAGTCAACTGCATGCTGAGGATAAGAAATAATTCCCGAGATAAAATTGGCTCTTCAATTCGTAGCTTTACGTGGGGCGTTGCTGTGCGCAAATCGGATGTCTTTTTCGTCTACATTATACAATAAATCCTGTGAAGAACATTTAGATGACCTCCTGACGTGAAACAAGTTATATAAAATGCAAGGATGATCATTATGTGATACAAATTTCCAAGTGAAGCAGTGGAGGTACTACATAGGCAGAAACTCGAATGGAACTAGGTTTCAAATTTAAGCCAAATTATTATTATTATTATTAAATGTTCAAGGTTAAGTAAAGAATCTTGAGGAAATTTCACATGGAAGACCAGTAATGGAAGACCATTGGAATACGAGAATATAGAATACTAAAATATTTCCGTGATTTTCATGTGTAGATGGGATGTACAGAATTCTCGATTTAATTTGTATACTCTTAAGCATGGTGATGGGTTTCCGCATGTGTCAAATCAGAAAAAACAAACTGGATGGACCCAGCTCAACGTGGTCAGAATAAATGTTCAGGCAGTTCTATTTAACTCAGATTTTAGAACACCAAAGCCACAGAGCCTCACAAAGATTGTTGTCTCAGAACACTCAAAATCATATTCCATTATTCCCAAAAGCGAAGGACCACTTTTGGAGGGTGAGAATCAGTATGTGGCCTTCCTGAATTGTCCAAAGAAGGATGCCCACAAACAACATACATGGCTTTATCTCTGTCGTGTACCAAATTGAACACAAACTCCTAAAATGTAGTGAGGACTATCTGGATAGTGATCATTGGCAATGATAGGCCCATTGTTCTCTGTGATGCTTAAGAATGATAGATAGGCATTTTGTAAATCCTCAGGGGCTGAAGGGGAAGATATGAGTTCATACTGATAAACTAGACCATCATTTCCTCTTCCTGTGGACCTTGTAAAGCCTCGTATTTGTGTTCATTTTAATTAAAAGCTTACCATACAGTCCAAACAAAGAATACCTCAAACAAGTGTTTTGAGCACCAACATGTGGACAGGCTGGATTCAAATAATGTTATAAATATCCACAAGTGACTAATCTTAAACTCAGAGATTAAAAGATAATTTAGACTTAATTTATGTAGAGGACGATGGATATGTAGAATGGTGAGAGCCACCCTTCTGCCCAGGTAAACCACGAGGAATGGAGCTCGGTGTCATATTTTGGCAGAGATTGAGATGATTGGGGGTTCACAGCACTAGATGTGTTTCTAATTGCAAAAAGGACTTGCACTGAGTCTTCATCAGAAAGGAATCAATGAGCTGGAGCAGTGCCAAGCAAGACAAGATGTATGGAGTTGGGTCAACATCTGCAATGTTGGAAGCACACCTTGCAATGAAAGGTTGGAGTTTACAGTAGGTTTGACTTCTGATAGATGAGGCATAGACTTCTGAACTTGTGTGTAGCTTATGGATGGATGAGCTGGTATAGATGTGGTAGTACGGCTGAGGAAATGTTGCCAGAGCAGAAAATAATTTCTTCTTCAACTTCCTGGTTCACCCCTCTTCTGTCAATACTCTCTTCTTGGTGTTTTGACTTTTTTCTACTGTGATGCTGCTCCAATGATCAAGTTGCCAGTCCCCCTCCTGTATGTCTGCCAAGTACGTGACTACAATTCACGTGTATGTTTTCACAGCAAATGAGTACAAGCTATTCAAAATCACAGGTGCAACATCACTGCCAAGCCCAATCCTGTTCTCACCAGAAGTCTACAAAAGCACTTTCTAGCAGAGTATCTGGTGCAGGTATCCACGTTGTGTTTCAATTGTAGGCATTTGAGGTTGGGGTTGTAGTCCGTCATTTATCAGTGTGAAAGCACAGGAGCATTTGATGGAATGTTTGAAGTCTTGATCCATGCCAACAGTCTCTCCAAGTAGTTGATGATTAATAGTGCCACGAACATGGGGGTTGAGTGAAGCTGACAAGCTTAGTGACTAAAATAAATCATGACAAAAACAATCCGTAAAGAAAACTCACTAAAAGATTTTAAAAAAGCAATATTGTTAAGAAAACCATGAAAATCACCGACTATACAGGTATGTAGCAGGTTTCTCTATGCTTGAGAGAAGTGGAAAATGTTCCATTTATTCCCTTTGGGGCAGGCAAGGCGTATAAGCTGAGAACAGTCCAACTTATGACACACAAAAGAAGCTTAATTATATGTTCTCTCCCCTGCAATAATCTACTGGGAACAGTGTTTCCAGTGGTTATGTAGAGAATTTGGACTGTATTTCATATTGGCATTAGTACTTGTGAGCATATTCTACCCGCATATTAGACTGACTGTAGCCCAATTAAGGTTAGCCCAGGTTAACTTTACACTATCACAGCAGCATAGGTGTGTCTTTAGCTTACAAATTTCATCAACTGCCCTATACAATTTATCCTATGAAGCACTTTGAAACATCATCCTGATATGAAAGGCACTATACCAAATGTAAGGATTATTACAAATTTGTGTTCCCCAATAACAAATAGTAATATTGTGTCATTACAATGGTCCTTATACTGCAGAAAAGTGTAACCACAATATTGGCCATTTCCTAAGATGATACATTTACTTACATGTCCACACATTAACTGTAAAAGTAAATAAATGAGTGAAAATTGCAATTAAAAGGGAGATAGAAACACTCAATCAGTGCTACCCTAAAAGCAGTACCACAATGACCTACACGAGGCTACTAGGTCCCTCAAGAATATTCTTGCAAATCTGAATCAATCAAAAATAGGACAGAACTTTCTAAAACTGAATTGAGGAATTTTATTTATAACATTTCAAACATAGCAATTATGCAAATAGTGTCTTCCGAGCAACTTCCAAGTACAATCACAGATTTTTACATTAACCAGTTCAGAAGCGAATCGTACAGAAATTGCCAATGCAATGATAATCTCATATTGTTCAGGCAGAAGAGAAATTCAGATTGTCCTTCCTTGGTTTCCGGTTCTTCATTTCTGCATTCCTCTCTATAGGCTGTAACAGACAAAAGTTACTGCACCACAGTAAAAATTAAAATGCATCTTTTTTTTAAAAAAGTAAAAGTTTAACCATTGCAGTTTTGGGTTATGCTCTGCCCTGTGATCTTACCCACTCTTTTCCCTCGCACAGGTTGACCAGATGAATTCGTGAAGTCTATTTGCTCAATGGAGACAACTCACTGCAGAATTAGGAAACAAAAGAACCACACGCACACATGGGTCTATAGGTTTAATTTACAATATTAATAAAACAGAATGAACTATAAACTACTTAAAAACATCAAATGTTTTATTTAGGTGACATACGTTTCTTCCAGCCAGTACAATAATGGCAAACAATTTACAGAAGAACAATGTGTGTAAAAATATCCTTCAATCAGCAGTTTGGAAACAATGCAATGCTTTCTCTCGTCTCAAAGAATCTAGTCGTGGTTTCAAAATACACTCTTACTTTATTAAACACTGAAATGGAATGTCTGCGTCCTGGGTGCCCGATACAACATAATGCAGCACCATGCAAAAAAAAATTAGAATGCTACACAGCACTTAAAATGATAGGGATTTTTTGCTGGAACATTTATCGCATGCATGCCTAAGCAAAGAAGCAAAAAAATAATTACAACTTTTTTTTTTAAAATTACAAATCAGGGAAGCAGACAGCTTCGGCTTCAAACAGGACAGAAACCGCCTTTGTGTACCACACACCATCTATTACATTAGTTCTGCTATTTTTGCAGATCCGTTTTCTTACTTTGGCGACTGAAGGTTTCTTGCACTTCTGCGACGCAGTTGCTTGGTAGGCGCTTCAGGTTCTGCCTTGGGGTTGTCCTCAGATTCTCGTTTTTCATTTGATTTGTTAGAAGCCTGCAATGCGCCCTTTGCTGCCTGTGCTGCTCGTCTAGAGGAGGTGCGCAAATCACTAGTGTTCTTGCACTTCTCTAGCAGGCTCACTTCACTGGTGCCGGCAGCTACTGCAGGTTGCAAACTGCTGGGTTCACTGGATTCCTTCTGAACCCTTGGTTCCAAGGCGCTCAATTTAATACTTTCCAATAGCACGAGTTGCTCTAACTCTGCAACCTGCGCTGCAGGTTTAAGGGTCTCACAATCGCCACACTGTTTGGTCTGCTTGGAAGTGTTCATTTTACTACTTCCTGACATAGCTTTTGATTCACCACTTCCACCCTGTCCCGCATCAGGGGTAATAACCACACTAATACCACATGGCTGTTTTTGTACTGAACTGCTCATGTATGTATCATGCTCTTCTATAATAGGGGCACCCATGGCACTAATGGCATAAGCCTTAGTTTGTTGTGAACTGCTCAGTTCTGTACTTAGGTGTCCTGAGATATGTCGCTCAGTCTGTAACAAATTTGTTCCAGCTTGGGTTCCCAGTTTATGGGTATCCAATTTTTCATTGTGAACCTCCTCTACTGGATTGGGGATGCTTAACTCATTATCACACCAATCTAATTGGTCTATATTACTGTCTAATATATCCACTTGCACATCTCTAACCTCTTCTATGGGGTTGGGAATGCTTAGACCAAGATCACACTGCAATTCTGCATTGCTGGACAAAACAGGGACATCCACTTGTATATCCCTAACCTCTTCTACTGCACTGGGGATGCTTAAGCCAAGATTACACTGCTGTTCTGCAGCGCTAACCAACAGATGGCCATCCTTAACATCTTCTAAGAGACTAGGGATGCTCAAGTCATCACACTGCTCATTTGCAGTACTAGGTAACAGAGAAGTATCTACTTGTACATCACTAACTTCTTCAACTGGACTGGGAATGCTTAAGCTAGTTTCATACGACTGTTCTACAGCACCACCTAACACAGGGACATCCATTTTTACATTCCCAATGTCTTCTAGTGGATCAAAGATGCTAAAATTAATATCACACCGTTGCTGTTCTACTGTGCTATCTAATAATCGACCATCTACATTCCCAAACTCATCGACTGGACCAGGGATCTTATTACACAGCCGGACTTGTTCTGAAGTACTAACCAGCACAGACACATCCACTTCTTTATCTCCAACCTGATCTGCCAGGTAAGAAGTCTTTAAGTCATCATCACAGTGATGTGATTGTTCTGCTGTGCTATCCAATATGGGAGCATCCACTTTTACATCTCTAACCTCTTCAAATGGTTTGGAGATACTCAATTCATCACACTGCTCAAGTTCTGCAGTCCTATTTGATTCAAGGATATTCTTCTCATCAACAACCTCTACTGGTTTGGAGATGTTCAACTCAATACACTGCTCCAATTTCTCAATGGAATCTGATACAAGGACTTCAATTTTCTCATCTGTACTGGTGATGTTTAGATGTGTTGCGGTACTATCCACTATAAAAGCATCTTCTTCCAAATCTGTAGCTTCTACTGGACTGGAAATGCCCATGTCATCCTTACACTGCAGTGGTACTGTTGCCCTTTCTAAAATAGGAGTCTCAATTTCTTCATTCCTGGGCTTTACTGTTGGATTGAGGATTAAGTTGCTGCTTTCACTCTGCTGTTGTGCAGCGGTAGCCTTCCAACTTCCAGTTTTGCTCTTTTTCTGAAAGACATTAACCTCCTGATGTTCATCCTGCAGCGCCGATGTCGATGTACTTAAGTCACTGTCTGGCTCTGTTTGTTGGTTCGTTTGTGTGTCCTCAGCTTGGTCACCCAGTGATTTATTGCCTTTTTCTGAAACTACAGTTTTGGAAACAACTAGAGTAATATTTTCACAATATACTTGTTCTTTAGCTGAATTTCCATCCACACTTTTCACTTGCCCGGCTGGCTTTAAGTTAGCATTATCTATATTTTTAGAATGCCCTAATCGGGCACTTTGTTCACCAAGTCCCAATTTGCTATCAGTTGGGCCCTTCCCAGAACTACCGTAGAAAATGCCATACAAGTCTTTAGCATTTGCAGCAGCCAGGCAAGTTTTAGGTTTCTCAGCTTTCTTACTGGAGTCACCAGAAGTTACCGGTGGTGGTGGTGGGCGGATTGGCACAGCCAACATGGGTTGTTCAAACTCTGAGACGCCAGGGGCTGGTTCTTCTGTTGAAGGATATATTTCTTTATTTATGTCCAAAACACTTCCCTCCAAAGTCACCTCCTCGCCACCAAAGGCCTTGGAGATAACCTCAGGTGCCAGCAACACTTCTGTCTTTGTCTCAGCCTTTACTACAGGCAGCGGTTTGTTGGAAGTCCCCGAAGAGCGAATGGATAGGAATGTGTCCAATGGAGCTGGCTTATTCACAGATGTGACACTGGGCTTTCTCAGGGGCATACTGGCAACAGGCAGATTTGGACGGATTTTGGCTTGTGTGATTGTGGTCACTGAACTGAAAGGTACCCATGGACTAGTGTGAGCAATAAGAGTCTTTCCTGAGAGTTTGATTTCAATTGTTTTGGAATGGATTTTCCACTTTGTGTTTTACCATCGTCCTTTTCCTTACTGCTTTCCCCATTTTCTTCCTTCATTCCAGCTAATGTGCTGCTTTTCTCCTCCTCTTTTTCATTTCTTTTCCAGCTAAACTTTCCAAAGCAGGAGGAGGCAGAGCAGGTATGTTCGTCTTCCTTTTTCTCCTCAGGTTCATCCTTTTTCAGCATCAGTTTTATGCCAGTCTTGTGGCCACACTCAATTTTGCGAGTGGAAATTGAGGCATGGTCACTTCTTTCCTCCTCCAGCTCAGTGACATTCTCACGTTCCTCGCGGTCCATTTTAATTAACTTTGCATTCTTCTCCTCACTCTCTTCTTGCTTCTTCTGTTTCTGAGCCTCTTTCTCTTCATCTATTTTTCTTTTGAGCCCAGCCTGGCGCCTCCGATCTGTTTCCATGATCACTGCTAAGCCGGCCTGTCGGTCTAGATTTCTTCGCTGTTCATAAACTGGATTCTCTTCTAAGAATTCCTGTCAAAAAGAAAACTTATCAGCAGGCAGTAAGAAAATGTATTCCACCCACAGCTTTAAAAATCTTTCACTTGCATTTCAATAATCCTCAATTCACCAAACATTTTATTTCAAGAATTCTTCTTCTTGCATAAAGGGTAAGAGCCTGGGGGAACAGGTACCTTCTACCAGTAAATTATTTTCGAGTAGATTTTCTGATTCCAAAATGTTCACCAAATTCCAAATAGCCCCAGATGATTTCTGACTGAATATAAGCAAATACATAGTGGTAAGGAGAAAGACAATGGATCCATTTTTTTGTCAGCTGCAAGTTTGACATATGCAGCGACCCATCATCATGCTTAAGAGTATCCAACCAAATTAAGCCAAGCAACACCAAGCGTTTCATTATAGTATATTCTGTGAAGCGTTTTGAGATGTCTCGAAGATGTGATAAGGAGCTATATCAAATGCAAGGATTATTATTATCCCACCTACACATGGAATTTCCAGATAGATGGTTGCAATGAAATGTCTCTCCCTGGAGGGATGCATCCTGCTTACCCGGTTCTGGAAAGACATAGGTTGGCAAGAGCCAAAGCTTGGGGAACCCAGAGTGTATCTTGGGGTAACTGCTGGAGTTTGACCAGCTAAATTGCATAGGTTGCCATTGATATCGCTGTCTGGCAAGCTTTGCCGCTGCTTGTCCAACTTGGACCACCCTACCCGTTAGGGCTTTAACTTGAATAGAATGATTTCCTACTCCCCAGTGATTGCTCTGCCATTCCGACAACAACAACTTGCACTTATATAGCGCCCTCCGCGAAGGGTAGCGTCTCAGAGCTCTTAATAGTGGCAGAGCCTGATTCCATGCCCAGGGGGGTGGAGGGTGCTGGCGAGGGTAGGTGACCGTAAGCACGATCGAAGAGGAAAGTTTTCAGGCAGAACTTGAAAAAGGGGAGGGGGTGGGGGGCAAGGTGGATGGATTGAGGAGAGTGTTCCAGAGTTTCAGGGTGTAGTGGCTGAAAGCGCAACCTCCAAGGGTCCAAGTCTTGCCAATGAGCCAGGTTGTGTCATCAGCAGTGCCTTGGAATACTGTGTACTACTTGGCACAGGAACCAGAATACCGAGAACGCCACAGAAGGCTGGTTCGATTCCGACTTTCTGTTGCCAAGCAAGTCACCTTGCAGCCAGTTCAGCTCCAATGAAATCCTGCCTATGTGTTCCCCCCCACCCAAAGAATATACAGCAGTGTGAATTCAGGGGAGGTAGTTAAAGAGAAGATAAACAAATATGCTTCTCACTAATGTTCACAAAGGTGTAATTTCCAGCAGATTGTCACTTATCAAGAGTGCAAATGTGACAATTTAAAAATTGTCCATCTGCTTTTGCCTAAGGCTAGCACACATCATTGTTTCAGTTACTCTCTGAATTCATTCTCTTGTTCTAAGCAAAATGTGAACTGACCAATCAGGTTAAATAATCCTTGCGTTTGGTTTAGTGCTTTATGTCGTCAAAACGTTTCAAAGAGTTTCATAGGATTTTACGGTAAAGTGCCTGTGTATTTATCGGCCAACACGGCAGTCAGTTTGCACACAGCAACATGTCACAACCAGCCATGAAGTGAGTAACCAATATTATCCGTTTATTGTAAACAATTAAAATTGCCTATGTCCCATTCACAAATTGATTAAACGTAGTCTTCAAAGAATGAATGGGTCACCAATTGAATGACATTCCATTCCAAAGTGGCAGCCTAGCTCCATTCGTATATCTGAGCAGAAACTTGTAAATTAATTAGCATGTCAGGATTTAAAGCCATGGTCTAGACTGACATAGTTCTGGAAGAGTTCTGCATTGTTGGAGGTTGTCCTTAAGACATTAGGATGAACATAGAGAAAATAAGAAATAAGAGGAGTAGGCCATTCGGCCCCTCGAGCCTGCCCCGCAATTTAATAAGATCATGGCTGATCTTCTAACCTAATTCTATTTACCTGCCCTATCCCCATATCCCTTAATCCCTTTAGTTTTTAAAAATCTATCGATCTCAGTCTTGATTATGTTCAATGACTGAGCATCCACAGCCTTCTGGGGTAGAGAATTCCATAAATCCACTACCCTTTGAGTGAAGAAATGTTTTCTCAACTCAGTTCTAAAGGACTGACCTTTAATCCTGAGACTATGATCCCTAGTTTTAGATTCTCCAACCAGGGGAAAGTCTCACACTATCTACCCTGTCAAGACCCTTAAGAATCTTAAAGGTTTCTATAAGATCACCTCTAATTCTTCTATATTCTAGAGAATATAGGCCTAGTGCACTCAACCTCTCCTCGTAGGTCAACCCCATCATCCCAGGAACCAACCTAGTGAACCTACGTTGCACCCCTTCTAAGGCGAGTATATTCTTTCTTAGATAAGGAGACCAAAACTGCACGCAATATTCCAGGTGTGGTCTCACCAAGGTCCTATGCAATTGCAGTAAGACTTCCCTACTCTTGTACTCTAACCCCTTTGCAATAAACGCTAACATGTTATTAGCCTTCCTAATTGCTTGCTGTACCTGCATACTAACTTTCTATGATTGGTGTACAAGGACACCTAAATCCCTCTGAATAATAACACTGTCTAGTCTCTTCCCCCTCTAGAAAATAATCTGCTTTTCTATTTTTCTACCTAGTTGAATAACTTCACACTTCCCCACATTAATAATAATCCTTGCATTTGATATAGGGCTTTTCACGTCAGGAGGACGTCTCAAAGCGCTTCACTGTAAAGTGAACTGACTGTATATTTGTGGGCGCACAGCAATGTCCCACAAACAGTCGTAGATTGAAAATGATCAATTTATTATTGTTTTTGGAGGGATTATTATTAGGCTCTGTGTGGATTAAGGAAACTTGCCCAAGGTTTCGCCCTGCCTGGAATTGAACTCAGGTCTCTCGCTTGCAAAGCGAGTGCTCTAACCCCTGAGCTACAGGACTCCACATTATACTCCATCTGCCATCTTTTTGCCCACTCACTTAACCTGTCTATATCCCCTTGCATCCTCCTTGTGTCCTCCTCACAGCTTACTTTCCCACCGAACTTTGTATTGTCCGCGAATTTAGATACATTAAGCTCTATTTCCTCATCTAAATCATTGATGTAGACTGTAAACAGTTGAGGCCCAAGCACTGATCCTTGCAGCACTCCACTCCACCTGCCGATCTGCGAAGGACCCATTTATCCCTACTCTCAGTTTTCTGCCTGTTAACCATTCTTCGATCATGCTAACATATTACCCTTAATTCCACGCGCCCTAATCTTATGTAACAACCTTTTATGTGGCACCTTGTCAAATGCCTTCTGAAAATCTAACACTATATTCACTGGCTCCCCCCTTCTAACCTGCTAGTTACATCTTCAAAAAACTAAAAGATTTGTTAAACACGATTTCCCTTTCATAAAACCATGTTGACTCTGCCTAATCATAGTATGACTTTCTAAGTGCCCCACAATGACATCCCTAATTATAGACTCTAGAATTTTCTCTACCACTGATGTCAGTCTTGTTTCTCTGCCACCCTTCTTAAATAGCAGCGTTACGTTTTGCGATCTTCCAATCAACGGGAACCGTTCCAGAATCCAGGGGATTCTGGCAGATCAAAAACAATGCATTCACTATTTCTGCAGCCACCTCTTTTAAAACCCTAGGATGCAGGCCATCAGGTCCAGGGGATCTATCAGTTTTTAATCCCATTCATTTCTCTAGTACTTCTACTTTACTGAAATTAATTTCTTTAAGTTCCTCCCAAACATTAGTCTCTTGATTCCTCACAATTTCTGGTAAGTTTTTTGTATCTTTCAACATGAAGACAGAAGCAAATTATTTGTTTAGTGACTTTGCCATTCCTTTATTCCCCATTTATAATTTCTCCTGTCTCTGCCTGTAAGGAACCCACGTTTACTTTTGTTAATTTCTTCCTCTTTATATACTTGTAAAAGCTCTTACAATCTGTCTTTATATCTCTAGTTTACTCTCATATTCCATTTTCTCCTTCTTAATCAGTTTCATGGTTATCCTTTGATGATTTCTAAAGCCCTCCCAATCCTCAGGTTTACAGCTCTTTTTGGCAATATTATAGGCCTTTGCTTTTAATTTTACACTTTCCTTAACTTCTCTATTTAGCCATGGTTGAACCACTTTTCCAGTGGAATTTTTATTTCTCAAGGGAATATGCGTTCGTTGCGAATTATCTAATACATCTTTGAACGTTTGCCATTGCTTACCTACCGTCATATCTTTTAATCTACTTTCCCAGTCTATTTTAGCCAAATCGTCCCTCATACCTGCAAAGGTGGCTTTATTTAAGTTTAAGAACTTTGTTTCAGACTTAACTACATCACTCTCAAACTTAATATTAAATTTCATCATATTATGAAGTCCCATCTGCCCGTTCAGGTGAATGTAAAAGATCCTATGGCATTATTTAAAAAGTGAGGGGAGTTTTTCTGCCAACAATCCTCATATAAAATTGGTAATTCAATGGTGTGCACAAATTAGGGGCTGTGTTCCGCTACAAAATATGCAGCCTTTACAGAGTAAATCCTATAAAGCGCTTTCAGGTATCATCTTGCCACTGCAGCAAATGTAAAGATTGTTATTTTATTATTACCAATGTATATTAATAATGTAAAACCTGTCTAGGAAGAACACTCAATTGTGAGGGAGAGGTAACAATAAAAAGAGAGAGCAACCAGAAAGGAAGCCTGTTTCAAAGATACCTGGACTGACATTCTGAAACCATTTTTCTTACAGCTGTGATTTTTTTACAGCCTTACCAATGATTAAACATCTAGTTCAGACCCACTCAGAGTTTTGTTCATCCTATCAGTGTTTTGTTTGTCCTATCGTTCACATATACCTTTATTCTCTGTTGCATATGTAGAATTTTACCTTTAGTAATTTACTAGCATAATTACAATTGGTAAATCTTCAGTTTGTGACAGATTGTTGATAATTTTGCCATCGGAATAGACCGTGAAATGAACCTGGTTTGCTAACGTCTGTTTTGGGTAATCGAGTTTATCACCTGTACCTGTGGGTGATTTGTCCACAAAATACAGTCAATCCATTTTATCTATATTAATAAAGATGAAATATGTGTCCGCCAAGAACGCAGTAACTGATTGAAATAGAGACCCAATTTATACCTCATCAGAAGAGTCTTGCATGGGGGAGTGTCATGGACATCTTTTTTTGGGGGGTAATCTCCTATCGTCCTGAGCTATATTAAAAAATGCTTTAAATAAGCTGCAAAATATGAGGTATACATTGTATTCTGCAACAAAGTAGTGACAGAGGAAATCACATATCCTTCCAGAGAGATACATCTATCTATACTAATAAAGACAAAATGTCTGTCTGTGTGTTTGTCCACCAATAATGCAATAACTGATTGACGTAGCGACATGATTTACACCTCATCGGAAAGGTCTTATCGTGTGCATTTGAGGGAGTGGGGGAGAGAGAGACGCTCCTATTGTTGATGAGCTATGACCTAAACAAGCTCATCACACATGTATGGCAGTTTTGCTTAAGGTGTACACACAGTGCTTACGGCACGTTAAATGGTTTGTGAGTGGCATCACTGGAAACTACATTCCACATTGGATCTTTTGGTTGCAAGGTCAGCTGCAACGGGTACAGATAGTGGTATATAATGTGAAGTGCTTTGAGATGTTTCGATGACACGATCCTGTGCTTTCATTGCACCATCCAAGATGGACAGGTGGGTGGTCCAATGAGTGTGCAGGATGGGGTTGATGGAAAGGCGAATGAGTCAATGGAAGAATAGAGCGGGTTGATGGGCAGGTGAATGGTCCAATTAGAGCACGTACTATTGTAGTCATTAAAGTTTCAAAAAGTTGCCGTTTCCAGTCCACAATTTTCCAACAGCCTTACTAATCATTGAACGTGGGACCTTTCTAGTCTCTAGGGCTAGGACTCACACCACTCACTGATTATTTTCTTACAAATCAATGAGGACTCATCGTTCCCATTCTTAATATTACAACATAAGTCTACCATTTTATTTGGGGGTAGACAGTCTAAATGTAGAAAACATTTGGCAATCTGAGCAGTTTGGAACAAAATACAGTATTTCATATATTTGGCACTGAGGTTAACAGCCACACACAGCAAGTTACTTGTTACATTCAATTTATATCGGTAAAAAGTTGCATTCAGGACTGGTAAGCCTTCATGGCACAATCAACAATAACCCCAGTATCCTTCAACTTGTCTCATCATTTACTGTATATTCTTGGTTCATTACTATTCTTCATCTGCAAGTCAATCCTTGGATCCAATCTGTATGCCAATGGTGCCAAGCTACATAGACACCCATTTCCCAGCAGATTGTTTTCAAGAACATAATTTTCAAATTCCTCTACTAGCTTGCTCCAACATATATGTAATGAATACCCATGTGTACAAGCTTCTTCAGCCTTACATCCAGATCTGCTATTTGCTGCTTATTCTCAATCCCTTGAATTCATCATTGGTTATTTAGTCTTCATTCACCACATACATCCTTGTTCTCTCACTTACATTTAAGAACTCCGAGACGACACCCCGGATGAAGGGCGCTATATAAATGCAAGTTGTTGTTGTATCACCATATCACCCCCATCCTCGCCCGAATCCACTGGCTTCCCATCATACAGAGGATACAGTTCAAGATCCTGGTCCTCACCTTTAAAGCCCTCCATGGCCTTGCTCCCCCTTATCTCTGTGACCTCCTAACCCCCTACCAACCTGCCCGCTCCCTCCACTCAACGGGCTCCGGCCTGCTTCATGTCCCCCACCTCGCACCCCCCACCATTGGCTTGCAGGCCTTCAGCCACTCTGCCTCCACCCTCTGGAACTCCATCCCACAGTCTCCACTTCGCCCCCTCCCTTGCCTCTTTCAAAACGCATCTCAAGACACCCTCTTTGACCATGCCTTTGATTAACCCCTTCCCCACCTGCCCTCCACCCTCCCCAATTCCGACCCCCCAGCTCAGGTCCGAAACACGCTGATTGTCCAGGGTCTTGGGACATCCTCCCGACGTGAAAGGCGCTATATAAATTTAATTTTGTTGTACATTCAGAACCACTTTGCATCGTTTATCTCTCATTGCTTTCCAACACCTCCTTTCTAATCATCAGATCATCCAGAACTCTGCAGCTCGTGTCCTCTCCCGCAATGGACTCCGTGAACCCATCACACCACCCTCGTCCAGCTCACTGGCTCCCCATCCCTCAGAGGATCGAGTTCAAAATTCTCATCCTCACCTTCAAGGCCCTCCATGGCCTTGCCCCCTCCTACCTATCCAATCTTCTACCCCCTTATCAACCTGTCCACTCCCTCCACTCAGCAAGTTCCGGCCTGCTCCATGTCCCCCGTCCGTCCCGCCCCACCATCGGTGGTTGGGCCTTCAGACTCTCTGCCCTCACTCTCTGGAACTCCATTCCATATTCCCTTTGCCTTGCTCTCTCCCTTGCCTCCTTCAAGGCACGCCTCAAGACCCCCTCTTCAACCGAGCCTTCGGCCATCCTCCTACCCTCTCGGATTCCAAACTCCCCCCCCCGCCTCCCCACCCACTTGGATCCTAATACATGACTGTTCAGTGCCTTGGGATGCCATCCTGTCGTGAAAGGCACTTTACAAATGCAATTTGGTATTGTATTATAATACCTCCTAAAGATGTCTCTTTGACATTAATTTGTCACCTCTGTATTTGGCTCACTTTGAGAAGCTAGTCTACTTGAAAGGCACAATATAAAAATCCAAGTTGTTCTTTTGAGATTTCACAGTGAAACCAACCATGTCACCAGGAGAGAGGGAGAATGACACCAACATCATGACAAATACAACAAACCAATATTAGGTATGAACTACAGTTTATAAAAAGCTGCCTGGAGTTGATTCATTGCACATCCTTGCTATCTCCATCATAATTTGAAAAAGGCCCATTCACAGGATGACAAATAAGATTCAGATTAAGACAGCCCTTTGACCCATTTGACTTCATCTGTCCTGAACACCACTCCTGCAGTTTTCCCATTACAGTATTGAGTCATTTCTCAATTGAGTCCAGTAATCTGACCTCTACTGTTAAGACATTAAACTACCACTCTTTGGAAGAAAACCTTAAGCATAACTCAGGTATCATAATTACAGTGGCAAAGTTACATTTTTAGAACAACTAAAGCCAATCACAGATCTGCTTACCTTACATTGCCAATTCCACAACTGTGATGGCAATACATTATATAAATGAGGCTGTCACATCTATGTTACTGTTAACAATAGGCACAAAGATCATATTTCAGTCACTATGACACCTTAGGTTTGCAGAGATGGGTGGGGAAAACTTGGTAAAATGCATGAACTAATCAAGTTATAATGCTATTGTGGTAAAGTAGGGTAGATCTTCAATTAAGGGTTCTTCAAACCTGGCAAGTAGGAATACCACTGTTTATTTTATTTGCATTTAATTTTGTGTTACCACAGAGGAACATTCATTTACACAGGACTACCTGAAGCATTTAAGTACATTTAATCTATTCAGTGCAATGAAAGGTGCTCGGATTCTGCAACTTCTTCCACTGTTCTCAGCACTCCAAATCTGTCAATTAACTTGGGATCAGCCAAATGGCTTTTCAGTCTCCATGTAATCTACAAAGCCATCTTAAACTCTTTTAAGCATCAGGGAGAAAACGAGTTTATCCATTGTATAGAGCTAATGAAAGAAACTGGTCATAGGTTTTGTAACACTGGCCATTTAAAAACTGTGTTGCCCTTAGCTGAACAGCTAAGTAGCCAGATTCGTTTTGGACGAGTCACAGAAAGCTATTCCTGGATTATCTGTACCTCAAGACTAGCAACAGCTTCAACTCTGAGAAGTTTGAGAAATAACTTCCATTTTGCTGGTAGGCTAAAGCCAAAGGTTTTGTATGAAACACAAATACAGATCCCAATCAAAATTCACCAAAAATAATTGAAATTAGTAGATTACAGAGATACCATTTGCTTGATGTGTCCAAGTAGCTCACAGAGTACACCATGTGCTTCACCCATCACATGATTGCAGACAGAACACAACCAGTGCACTGGAAACAGTAATGCGCCAATTCCCAGTGCTAACTTCTTCCTAACCTTATATTTATCATTGTGACCATGTGATTTAACATGATCTTCACCACAGATCTGATCTCCGTAGAACTGTTGACATAGCTGGCAATAAAATCCAGTGACTGGCATCAGAAATTCCGAACCTAAATGACACAGAAACACAAAGGATTTAACGATCAGTGAAATAATTTCCAGTCAGACTACAAACATCATTACTAAAATGTGCTTCATAATATGACATTTCAAAAGCCACATAGACAAAGCTCCTTCAATTTAGCACATTTTTCCATTTTATTTTGGAGTCATATGATCAATTGACTCCATCGACTGAATTGCAATTCACAGATCATTTCCTCTAAAGAATCAAGATGATCAGTTTCTCAAGGAACTTCTATGTTTTGCTAACTTGCAGACACAGCTGTTGGTCAGACAGAATATGAGCATCAATGGTAGCTATGTATTGTCTGTAACCCAGACAGTGCTATATTCATGGCTGAAGTAGGGGAGAGCACACTTCAACAGCAAAATAAATGCTGTACAATAAATTGCTCATTGTCTACCACAAATGAAAGTGACCATAGACAGTCAAGGACATGTGGAGTTGTTGTGGCCTACAAATCTCAAACAGCAATTTTTAAAAAAATCACACCCACCCAAGCAAAGAGAATTAAATGAAACCCACCTTTTGCGGGCAGAGTTATTTTCTCAGTTCGCTTAACAGAGTCATTTTTGTCTTCGTTTGGTTGTTTTGTAGCCCATGGTCTATCATATGGATCCAGTGTCTAGTTGCATAGTGACAGAGGTACATAGTGGATTGCACATTAACTTATACAGTATAATTACAATAAAACCATACCAAGAAATAGTTAGACATTTTGGTATAAAAGTACATTTGTGTATAAATTGGGATATGAGTGTTCCTGCAGTTTATCATCACACAAAACTTTGCTGTGGAGAAGGTAACAAACAGGTTACAGACCAAATAAAATACCTTTTCTATTTAAAAAATAACAAAATACATGTAGAATAGTTTTAAATTTGAAAAAGAATTTTCAAAATATCTGTGATTAACTTATTTCTCCTGAAATCTTGAGATTTAGGATTTTGAAACTGAAAGACTTGCATTCCATGGACATTTCCAACAACAACAAAATCAGTTATAATATTTTGGGTTGGCTGGGGGAAGAGGATGGAAGACGTGATTCACATTTCATCCTTACCTGAACCTTCCCCTTTAATATTAACACTTAGAATTTAACACAGTTAATATGAATTAACTTTTAAATTTTTATTCTTTGGCTCTTTTAATTCTTGATTTTAACCATAGGTAATACAAAACAATCTCAGAAAGTTTTGCTTCTAATTGTACAGCACTTCATGTCTGTGTGGCTTTCTGCAAGTTTTGTGTCATTCCCTTGAAAGAACAATTAAAATTACATATATTGTAAATTCCCAGGCATACAATTGAATTTTACGAATCTTTCGCATATCACCAATGTATCTGAAAGCCATTCAGACATTACTAATCCTAATTGCATGTGATTATGCAGCTACTCCATCCTCATGACACTGAAATTAAAATCATTTTGGAGAGGCAGCACATCAGACAATACGGTAACTATACACACCTGCCTGTGCCTCTTGTTATGCATGTGAGTGAAAAAGTCGAAGAGTGTCCCACATATCATGTTGCAGTGTTTGCACCAATGGTTTCCTGCATCATAATACTCGTACACATCCCCACTTTTAGAGGCCTCCTCCTTGGGACCTTCGGTATTAGAATCTGGCTCCTCTGGAGATCTTTCTCTAGTTGAACTCTCCTGAATGAAGACAGTCATACATAACAGCAGAATTCAGGTTTCAAACAATAACAAAGTCACATGGTAACTCCCCCAAAGGGCCGTCATGATAAGATTGTGTCAGGTGGCCTTTTGCCCAGAAATGCAGCAGTGTTTTTTTATCCCCCAGCACCGATTGATAGGACCTGATTCTCATCTGTAATGCCTTCACCTATCATGCAAGATTACATCATGAGAAGCATGCAACACCAGTTTTGAATAGATTACCAGTCAGAGTAGATAACACACTGGTTTATCATCTGAAGACATTCCTCTTTTTATGTAGGAAAAACAGGATTTTTTTTTAAAAAAGTGCATGTACTTTTTCACTGATGATTACAAAAATCAGATCATGACGTCCTTTATACGGGTCTAACTTTTCTACATTGTTTTAATAGTGAATACAATTTGAAAAAAAGTTCTAAAGTCACTACCTTTGAGGATGGAGACTTTTCTGCTTTTTGTGATAATATTTCCTCAGAATCTTCTTTGGATCTCACAGAAATGTTGGGCTGCGTTTTAATATGAATAAGTGCCCCCAAGATCTGAGCTACTTTGTCCAGTTCAGACAGCTTTTTCGCAGTCTCTTCAGCCTGCTGGCGAACGACTGCCATTTGACGCGTAATATCTTCCTGCAACTTGCCATTTTCTACCAGAAGTGGATCCTTATGTCCATCTTTCTCACGACGCTTCCTTCTCAGCAATTCCCCTTTGCACGTCGAAGGCGGAAGGGAGAGGTAAAAATTCAGTTTAAAAAAAGCCCTCATTAGTGAAATGTGTAATTTACTGATTTCTCCTTTTAAGTATAAGTTCATTTCCACCTTTTGGCTTCTTGTATTTTCCTTCAGTCGAGAGAAGCCGAAGCATACAAGTTGCTGACGACTCTAAACATTAGTGGCCTGTGGATCAGAAGATTGTGGGTCCAAGCCTCACTTCAGGAAAAGGTGGGGAGGGGATATAAATTCATAATCAAACAATAATAGCCCACTTTGAGCAACAAAAACTCCATTCAGCAGGGAGCAAACCCACAATAGCCCTGGCCAATATTTTCTTCATTAATCTTTGGAATATGTTTTTTCTCAGTATCCCTAATGTAAAACGTACCACATGAGCTTCATGGGGAAGTAAATTCATGCTTTGGGTGTTCCTTACCTAGTGAAGAGTGAATGATGAATAACAGTCAACCTTCCCCTCCAAAGTAATGCATACACACTCAATTAAGTTATTCCAGCCTGGATAACAATGGACCTGTTTGTGCATGGACAGGCTGTAACAGCAGCCATTAATAGAACTTGAAGTTCACATCCACACCAATTTTTTTTAAAAAACAAAAAAATACAAAATACAACAAATTCTACAACAAATGAAGATGACTGTGCACAGGCAGAGGAAAAGACAGAGCAGAGAGCTGAAACATTTTTTGCTATTTCTCTTTTGTGTGAATGGGGAAACCATCAAGACTATTGTTTTTAAAAGCAACTTATCAATAATGACAGAAATAAATGTGAACACCTTCATAAATAAAGCATGATCATTTAGTGCAAGTTATACTAGCTTAGTGATAATACTCTTCCAAAACGTTTCCTCTTTCTACCTTGTTGTTTGCGGAGTTTTTGCAGCTCATTCCCAAGATAATCCAATCGTTTCAGTCGTGCTTCCTTCTCCTTCGAGAGTTTATCCCTTTCAATCAAAACCTGTGGAACATCAATGCAAACAGTGTGCTTACACAGAACACTAACAGGTGCACACATACCATTTAATGCCTACTGTTCTCATATTTAAAATTCCTGATTGTAGGCATGCTATGGGTAGGGAAGAAAGATTGGAATGAGTGATATGTTATTTCAGATTTATTTAGACCACTCAATACAAATAGCCCACTTTCTAGTCTATAACATTAAGATACAGCCAGATCCTGAACAGGATCAATAAGATGAAAATAATTCTGAAAAGGATTAACATAGGAACATAGTAGAACAGGAACAGGAGTAGGCCATTCAGGCATTCAGCCTGCTCCACTGTTTATTAGCTCTTGTCAGATCTCTAATTCCAATGTTCCTCCCTTTTAGGTAAAAGAATGCCCCTATTATTATTACTCAAGTCTGTCTATCTCACTTTTAATTCAGTCTCTACAGTTTTCCGAGGCAGTGCCTTCTACATCTTCACAACCCTCAGTGTGAGGAAATCCTTCCTCATCTCAGTTATAACCATCTTGGTCCTGATTTTAAGACTATGCCCGCTTGCAATAAGTCCTTCCACCAAAGGGAAGAGTTGTCTACTATCTAATTCGTCAATCCTTTTCATTATTTTAAATACCTCAATCAAATACTCCTTAAACCTCCTCAGCTCTAGAGTATAAGTGCAGTCTACCCAGTCTCTCATTATAGCTAAGTCCCTTGAGCCAGGTATAAATTTAGTATAAAGAGTCACTGGATGCCCTCCAAGGGTAGTATTTCCTAACACTAGGTGCCCCAAAATGAACACAATATCTAAATGAGGTCTAACTAGCACTCCATAAACCTGGAGCAATTCATAATCTCTCGCACACACAACTGGACCCTAATTCTGCATTCTATTATAATATTCATTTATATATTCATTCAATTACTCATTTATCCTCACTTGTACTCTATACGTAATCCAGTTTCTTTTATCTTCAGGCGTTTCTAGTACTGAACATTCTCATCTTATATTTGCAAATCACAAGAAGCGTTTTACAATTTAACTGGCCTAAACTAGAAAGAAAATGCACGCTTAAGGGGCAGAAATTTTCAAGTATTAATCAAGACCTCCCTCTTACATAAAACATCCTAAACTGAAGTTTTATACAAACCTTCCGCTTCTGTTCAGCCTTTCGCTTTTCGTATTCAGCATGTTCAGCAGAAGACTTGGGCATTAGCACTGTCCGGTTTGAGGATACTGTTGGAATGGTATCTGTTGTTGGCACTTGGACAAGCACAGAGCCCTCACGTTTGCCATCAGTAGTCTCAATAACCCGTAGGTTCGGCCGGGCAACCTTTGGCTGCTGCGCTAGTATTACCGGGCTGATCGGCTCCTGCACATACGGTTCTGCAAGCATTGGGGGTGGGAACATTGGCCAAGCAGTGGTGGCAGGGCATGACATATAACGACCATACTGGTTAAAGTTAGGGAGAGGTGCCGTTGGCGGATAGTTTATTACCCTTATTGGATACTGCCCAAAGGGTGGTACAATACAAGAACCAGGAGCAGGCGTCCTTAGTAAAGGAGGCCTTCGGAGACTTGAGGAGACAGCTGAAGCCTGTGGAGTCATTCTTTCAGGTTCACTAGGTGTCACAATAATCTCATGTTGAAACGATTCTTCTTTAGTCTCCATCACCCTGGAATAAGGCCCACTAATTTCTGGTGTAAATGACTTTCCTACAGGCCGTGGGTGAGGCTCTGATGACTTGGTCTCACTTCGAGTTCTCCGTTTGTTAGAGGAGCTGGTTTTCTGAGCTTCAGAAGTGCGGTCAGGAGATCGGGTTGAGGGCTTTTTACCATGAAGTCGTTCCTGAGTACGGGCAGCAAGCTTGCTGATTTCGGACACTCCAATATCGAGCCCAATGGTTTTCAGTAAATCATGGATCTTCTCATACTCTTCATCAGGTTTCACACTTGCAGCAGTAGATGCTCCAGCAGGAAGGCTACTCTGTCTTATAGGAAGGACATTGCGATTAGCAGGAACAGGCTTAAATTCAGGAGCCTCCGCCTTTTTGTATTTGACTGGCTCAGTCTTTTCATCTTCATCCTCTCCATAAAGAAACTTTTCCTCGTCCTCTATATCAGGGAAGCTGCGTTTTCTTCTCTCTTGCAAACTACAGTTCTCAGCCTCAGTTAATAATCCAAGTACACGGGAGAAACCACCGGCATCTTGAGTGGCCCGCTCATGCGGGAGGAAGAAATCCGAGACTCTGTCTACATTTTCAGGACCCAGTTCTATTTCAGACTTCCCACAATATTTGGCCACAAGACTCCTCTCATAAGAGAAATTAGTATTTGTCAGGCAAGGCAGAATGCCCTGTTCAGCAACATGATGGATTTCTCTTTCTCTGCTGTCCTGAGTATAGGAGAACGGTTCAATCTTAGGGAAGCTTGGCTCATGCTGTGGCAATCTCATATAGTTCTGCGATGGAAGATAACTTTCCTGATGTTCGGTGTTTTGACTGCTTGTGCCAACACGGTATTCATCAAACTGAAGGAGGAAAAAAAGAATTTACTGAACCAAAAGCTACATGATGCCTCACTGAATGAACAGTACCACTCAAAATAGTAGATGTCAAATATTTCCTTGTCTCTTTTTTTGTCTAATCTTTTGTTTTTAAAAAGTATCACAAACAAAAGTACCTTTTCCCTAAAGGGGAGTACTCAATAGGTTATATGCACATTGTAATGTGGTAGTGAACCATGAAGAATTTGCTAATCTCAAACAGTGCAGTGATGAGGCACCAGTTGGTGTAAAGACAATAAAATCTCAAACAATTGTGTTCTAAAGTAATACCTCTGCTGTAAAAATGCACACTATGTGTACCTGGATGATGATTGAGTTTGACTCATCTGTTGTGGCTACCAGTTAAATATCCAGCAATAATCATCCAGTTCGTGTACAAGCTTCAATAACACACCATGAGGGCTTCCACAACAACAACTTGCATTTATTTAGCGCCCTTCACGAGGGCTAGCGTTCCAGAGAGCTTCACAGTGGCGGAGTCTGACAGCGAGCCAGGGAGGTGACCGTAAGCACAATCAAAAAGGAAGGTCTTTAGGTGGGATTTGAAAGTGGGGAAGGAGGGGGCAGGGCGGAGGAATTGAGGGAGAGGTCCAGAGTTTCAGGGCATAGTGGCACGGCCACCGATGGTGGAATGGAGGGCATAAGGGACAAAAAGGGGTCCGGAGCCAGCCAAGCGGAGGCAACGGGTAGTGAAGTGGGGGTAAGCAGTACGGATAGGTAGAGAGATGCGAGGGCTTAAAAAAAAAAGTAAGTGTTCGGTGGTTAGGAGCCAGTGGAGCCTGGCACTTATGTAATTATATCATCTGCTCAGCTTTTTCATTGCTATTCCACAGGATGCAGCTGGATTCACCAATATGGATGCCTCCAGAAATACAAAATATAAACTGGAGGATAGCTTCCTCCAATTTCTTTGAAGTAATCTCTGCTTTAAGAGCCACTTGTCTTTTCTGGCTCACTTGTTTCGGCCAGAACAATTTTTTTCCATTCTTGGCCTGAATGAAACTTCCTCAAACAGGGAAAGATGGGTGGGCCAAAAATGAATCTTGAGCTCAGTCATTACAGCTAAGTCAAATCAGTAAAAATCTGTAAAATCCACTGTAAATGGTTTGCCCCATGTCCAAACTAGACAGAGTTCGATGCATGCCACCTACACATTGAAATCCTATGCCTGGAATGGATTATGCACTAGCTCCCCAGAAAGATGCATCCTGCTTACTCAATGCCAGAGAGGACGAGGCACAGATTTGGGGACCCTAAAGTGTGGGTTTGGGGCACTTCTGGCGTTTAACTAGCTAATCATAATCATTGTATTTCATATAGCACCTTATCCCAAGATCAAGACATCTCAAAGCACTTCACAGAATTTTACTATGAAGTGTAGAGGCTATGTTATAGCCAATTTGCATACAGTAATGTCCCACAAACAGCCATAAAGTGAATAAACAATTTTGTCAAGAGATTGTTGCCCAGGTAAAACCATAGTTTGGCAAGCTTCCCACTGCTTGTCCGGTTATAACCATGTTACCTTAAAGGGCCTGACAGGGTTAACATGTGACAAGTGGGAAGAATCTACATTTCAGAGAAACCCTGAAAAGTGCTTTGAGCTGTTTCATAAGTAGCTATATGTTATCCAACCCCATTCCTCTGTTAGCCTTCTACTCAGCCACTTCCCTCTTCTCTCTTGCTTGGTGTCCAACTCCAAGATGTTATCCCACGAGAAAGACACTATATAATTGCAAGTAGCTGTAAATAAATGTAAAGAAATAAATAAATGTAAGTAAATGTGTTCCAGCCTAGCTCAGTGGTAGCACTCACGCCTCAGAGTCAGAAAGTTCAACCCCCACGTCGGGACTTCAAATTACGCAGTCTAAGTTGACACTCCAATGCAATGCTATGGGTATGCTGCCCTTCGGATGAGACATTAAAAACCAAGATCCCACCTTCCTGTTAAGATGGACATTAAAGATCCCATGGTACTATTCAAAAAGAGAAGGGAGTTTGGCCAACAAATCCCTCAAATAAAATTGGTCACTCATGGCTGTTTGTGGGATATTACTGTGCGCAAACTGGCTGCTGGGTTTTGCCCACAAAAAACAGTATACACTGTGAAGTGCTTTGAGATGTCTCGGCAATGCGATAAAGTGCTAAATCAAATGCAAGGATTTTTATTATAATCCAAGGATTATTAAATAGGGGAAAGAACATTGAACTTAACTGTCAGAATGAGTCAAAAGATTAGTTATATCCTAACAGAGCAATTAACAAGGAGGTAGCTACGAACAGAACTTTGGTGGAATATAGAACATGGCAGCTTGTCAAATCAAGCCACTATAACCCACATGAAGCCCACTACCTACTCCCTAAACCCCATCATTACTCCTCTCCTTACCTCCCAGCTCCACCTCCTTGCCCCTTTACTCTCAGACCTCATCAACATCTCCCTGTCAACTGGCACCGTTCCCAGCCCCTAAAAACAGCTGTCATCACCCCTATCCTAAAAAAACCTTCCCTGGACCCATCCCTGCTCATTAACTACCGCCCCATCTGCAACCTCCTTTCCAAGGTCCTTCAAAGAGTTGTTGTTTCCCAGCGTCACTCCTTCCACTCCCTTCACGAACCCCTCCAATTGGGTTTCCGTGCTACCCCGGTCAAGGTAACAAATGACATTCTGTCCAACTGTGACCAGGGCTCTATTGCCTTTGATACTGTGGACCACTCTATCCACCTCCTCCACCACCACCTCTCCTCTCAACCTTCAAAGTTCTGTCCTTGAATGGTTCAGATCCTATCTCTCACACCGGCTCCACTTTGTCTCCACAAATGGTTTCTCCTCCAGCCCCCGCACTGTCTTGTGTGGTGTTCCTCAGGGCTCTGTCCTCGGTCCTCTCCAATCTGTACATTTTCTTGGTGACATCATCCGCAGAAATGGGGTCAACTTCCACATGTACACAGATGACACCCAACTCTACCTTCTGCCTCCACCCTCGACCCCAGGACCACGATGTAGAAACAGAGTGCTTGTCAAACATCAAGTCGTAGATGAGACCCAACTTTCTACAGTTGAACGTCAGCAAGACCAAGGCTCTACTGATTGGTTCACGCCAGCGCCTCCGCACCTCAGGGGCTGGCAGCATCAGCATCCAACGTTGCACACTCCACCTCGCCAAGCCAGTCAGAAACCTAGTCGTCTTGTTCGACACAACTGTTCTTTATCCCCTGCGTCCATGCCATGACCCGCTCTGCCTTACCCCACCTCCACAACATTGCCCGACTGCCACTGCCTCACACCTCCGAAACCCTCATACACGCCTTCATTACAACCAGGCTCGATTATGCCAACGCCCTGCTTGCCATCCCAACTCTTCCCTCCACAAATTGCAGATCACCCAGAACTCTGCAGCTTGTGTCCTCTCATGCACCAGGCTCCGTGGCCCCATCACACCCACCCTCGCCTGGCTCTACTGACTCCCCATCCCTCAGAGGATCAAGTTCAAAATTCTCACCCTCACCTTCAAGGCCTCCATGGCCTTGCCACCTCCTCTGACCTGCTAACCCCTTATCAACTTGTCTGCTCCCTCCGCTCAGCAGGCTCTGGCCTGCTCCATGTTCCCCACCTGGCCTGCCCCACCATCGGCTGTCAGGTCTTCAGCCTCTCTGCTCCCACCCTCTGGAACTCCATCCCACATTCCCTTCGCATCACTCCCTCCCTTGCCTCCTTCAAGGCACACCTCAAGACCCTATCCAAACTGCTTATCCTCACTCTACCACCCGTTGTTTCCGCTCATCTGGCTCATGGCCACCCTCCTGCCCTCTACCCCTCCTGATCCCCCCACCTCTTGGGTCAGAGTCCTTGACTGTTCAGCGCCTTTGGATGTCCTCCCAAAGTGAACAGTGCTTTACAAATGTAATTTTGTATTGTATTGGAAGTCTGTTTTGCCATTTTTTAAGATCGTGGCAGTTTTTTTTTTAATCACATTTCCCCATATTTGATTCTACAACTAGAAGGTTTTAGTGCATTCTCAAGACCATTTGTGTGAAACGTTTTTGACTTCACTTTTAACCAGTTTAGCTCGAATTTTAAAAATGTTTTCCTCATTAGATTCTTCTATGTGAGGAAAGACTATTTTCCTACATTGCTTGTCAATTTCCTTCATTATTTTGAATATCTAAATCAGATCAATCTTCAGCAAATCAATCTAGGGAAGATAACCGAAATTACCAGCCTTGCATCACGCCTGAACTCCTTCTTCCCAGGTATTAGTTTGGTGAATTGTTGCTGGATCCCATTTAAGACTAGTATATCTTTCCAAAGATTTTTTTTTCAACCCCTTCCCCTTGGCCCCTCCTTCTCCAACTTCAGGTCGCACCTGAAGACCTACTCTTCGACCGTGCCTATGGTCACCTTCCCCACCCCCGGCTCGGCTTTGGGCTCTGCCACTGTTAAGCGCTCTGAGACGTCGCCCGGTGTGGAAGGCACTATATAAATGCAAGTTGTTGTTGATTAAGTAAAATAATCCAAATTAGGTCTGACCGCACCCTTAACAACAACTACAGCATTTCTTTGCTCCTACATTCTAGACCCCTGGTTCTAAAGTACAGAATTTCATCATATTTGTTGTTTACTATACCTATGAAATAATTTATGTACTTGGACCTCACCTTTGTTCATCTATACCCTCTCGCACCTGTGCTCTCAACTGCCATTCTTAAGTCAAAAGCGTACAGCCCACCCTTTTCTATGTTGAATTCTTGTCATAGTTCTGCCTACTCACTTAATCTACATTCCTTTCCTGCTCTCTTCTTCACAATTTACTGCACATTTTAATGTCGTCAACAAACTTATATAGTCCCCTTTACACCTATATCCAAATTCTGTGTATAACATGAACACAGATCCCTGCTGAAAAACACTGGGCACTCATTGTGTACCAATTACTATTTACCCCAATTTTCTGCCTCCCAACGATTTTTCTATCAATCCCATAATATTGCCTCCAATTTCATGAGACTTAATTTTTATCTTGTAATTTCTTAATGTGGCACCTTCTCAAATAGAAGATATTGGTAGCTTCTACAGAACTGCATGGTGTCAAACCACATCAAGAACACCAATCAACAAGCTACGCCAACAACTATACTGGCAATTATGGATGTAGCTGGAACATTGACAGCAGCTTTGTTAATCTAGAAGGACAAGCTTAAATTATTACTTTCGTTTGTTAAACACAAGCACATTTCCAAGAAGATGGACAAGGAATACAAACAGCTCAAGAGTTGGTAACCTGAAGCCAGATCAAAAACAGAATATCTTGGCAAAAAAAAGGACCAATGTCCTTACTTTAGTGGGGATTCCCAGAGACTCCGCGAGAGCAAACTCAGTGAGAGATGAATAAGGATCACAGAATCAAAGTTAAAGGACAAAATGAGCCAAGGTAGTCAGCTTTCTCCACAAGAGAGCTGGCACCTGAACCATCAGGAAAGAGTGGTGCTGGAAAAGAGAATTCAGATATTTAAGCCAATTTTGGCAGAGGACCAGAAAGGACTACGGCTGGATGGGCAAGATGACAAGTTATTTCTTATTAATATTTTGCATCTTAAGTCTTGAATAGTGGACTGGGGGGATTACAAACAGAGATAAAATTGGTTTGGAATGCTTCAGACTGATTTTTGATTTGGTCAGCCAAATGTCTGACACATGTGGAAACCCATCACCATGCTTAAGAGTATCCAAACCAAACAGAATTCCATGCATATCACCTGCATGGAAATTCCAGAACTGCCTGGCTCAAAAACTGAACTATTGAGACCACCACACAGGGTGTACTCAATACTGGCATTCCGTTGCCAAACATTTCACCTTGGAGCCATTTTACCTCCTGATATCCCCCACCCCCCACAACCGCCCCCCTGCTCCACGCCAAAAGGATAGTCAGATTGATTAAAATATGATTTTAGACAAGAGTTTTTACAAGATATAGATAGAATGACAGCAATTAGCCCTGATCTATGATGCACTGCTTTGATAGCTGTCAAGGAAGAATGAGGTAATAAAAAGTATTACATACTACAGTATGTAATAGTTTCTTCACAGAGTACAAACAACATTGAGAACACAGAGAAGTGAAGAATTTTGGAAGAGCACACTAGTCGGATTTGTAATGCAAAATGGGTTGAGCTTTATTGATTAGATACGTCTTATTGGTGGGTATTTTGAAAGCCAAGAAATGCTAAAATAGATGTAGGAAATGTCAGCAAAAGTTTTAAAGGAATTTGTATAACTGTTAGGTTGACTACGGACATAAAAATAATAATCCTTACATTTGATTTAGCTCCTTTTATTTTGGGAGGATGTTCCAAAGTGCTTCACAGGATATAAATGGCTTGAACCCGTAATCTTCTGACTCGAGAGGCAAGAGTGCTACCAACTGAGCCAGGATGATACAACATAGGTATAAAATAGCATATAGGTATAAACAAGTTGTTCAAAGTCATTCAAGAAAGGACAGGATTATAAATTAGTATCTATTTAATACGTTTAATCAGTGGAAGTGGAGCCACTGTTGATGGTGAACACAAACATTTCCAAGAATTATGCTTTCCTCGGAGAACAACCTGAGTTGCCAGAAATTAAAATGTTATCTAGTTCAGGAAAGCAATACAAGCAGGATATTAATTTAGTTGGATGGTGGGGGGCGGGAAAGAAGAATTGGTACAGTGGTCATAACTGGACAAGCTCAGGAAGCTTTAATAATAATAATAATAATCCTTGCATTTGATATAGCACTTTTCACGTCGGGAGGACGTCCCAAAGCGCTTCACAGAACACACTGTAAAGTGAATTGACTGTATATTTGTGGGCGAACGCAGCAGCCAATTGCGCACAGCAATGTCCCACAAACAGTCGTAGATTGAAAATGACCAATTTATTATTGTTTTTTGTTTTGGAGGGATTATTATTAGGCATGAGGAGTAAGGAAACTTGCCCAAGGTTTCGCCCTGCCTGGAATTGAACTCAGGTCTCTCACTTGCAAAGCGAGTGCTCTAACCACTGAGCTACAGGACTCCAGGACTTTACCAGCGCTCTACAATGGTATACTCTAGGGTCCCAAGCTGGAGTCCTAAACTCTCTGGGATCAGGTATGCATCCCCAAAACAAATTGCTACAAGTGAAATTTCTCTACCGATTGTTCTTTTAATAGAGCACTTTCAGCTCAACCAACCTATCGTAGACCTAACCATCAGCATACCTGTCCCTGGAATCAATCTCTTTCAGCTATCTACAAAGAGTTTAAGTTTTTCTGATCATAATCAACAAGTAATTGCATCATCACTTTCATTCATGCAAATGCAGGCACAATTCCATCCAGCTAGCCTATTAAAACACTGTAAGGATGAGTTGGAAATAATGTAAAAAAANTTCACTCCAAACGTTCACCTATATACAAAATACAATGCAAAACTACAATACTAGATTTCACATACACTAGAAAACATCCGCCTCTCAACAGGCCTAACTTACAGAACCTTAAAGAAATAGAACAGATCAAACCTGCATTGTAGCCGAGGGCTCAAATCCTGTTTCAGTACGTTTCTTCAGAATAGATTTCTTTGGCATTGGAGGAGCCTCATCTGGTCTGTGCAGAACATAGCCACTGTCGGAAGATTGTGTGACACCCATTAAACCCTTATCGTAATGCTCAGGGAGACCATAAGAATTTGAGAGTTCATAGCGAGGAGTAGGGAGCATTTCTGCTTTGATTCTCTCTTCTTGCTCCTTCCTCCTGCGAGCAATTTCCAATTCCCGAAACTCGTTATTTTTACTCACATCTTTCCCATATGAAAAATGATCTTGAGCATGACTATTGCTTGGTTTTGGAGCCGGACTAAGACTCCGGTCCCTTTCAGGGTTTCTGGATCTGTAATTCCTGTGTCTTTCTGGACTCCGACGCTCATGGCTACGATGGTCCCTACTATGGCTGCGATGTTCGAGCCGCGCCCGTTTAGTGTCTCTTCCTCGATCCAACTCCCTGCTTCGATCATCACACCGAGAATGTGAATAGGAAGCTTTTTTCAATTTATCTAAATCAGGTTCACTTGATCGTCGCCCATCTTCTCTCTCAGATGAGTAGTGTGACCCATAATCTGGCCTCCGCCTGAAGGAATCTCCAGGGGGTGGCATTCCCCGATAGTCCTCTCTTGGCCGTGAAGTATATTGACTTCCTTGAGCTTGATCACGAGAGGGATACATTGTTTGCATGTGAGTTGATTGCTGCATGGGATTCGTATAAATAGGACCATCAGCCATTTCATCCCTGTCAACCAGTTACAAACAGAAAGTTTTAAAAAAAGTACCACAAATCAATCTTAGCCACCGCGTTTTCTTTAACCACTATCACAGTCAGTCTACATATAATTAAGAGGAGCTACAGTGCAGCAGGAAGATAAAATTAAGTTATTCATCCACCATCTTCCAGTGGGGGGGCGGGGGTGGGGGGGGAAGAGTGTTAAGCAAGTTCTCCTTGGAGCTGAACTAGCTCCAAGGTGACATGTTTCGCAATGGATGTTGGAATCGAGCAACCCTCTGTGGCAGTCTCAGTAGTCCAGTTCCTGAGCCAGGCGGGTCTGCAGTACTCCGGGGCACTGATAACAGCACAACCAGCCTGACTCATCGACAAGAATTGGAAGGGCCTGAAGGCAGGGAATCCTCCCACTCAGCTTCTGTTAACCCTGCAAGCCAAAGCCCCCAACTTGCCCAATATTTCGCCTTGCCGGGAACCTAACCCAGGTCTCTTGCTTGCTCTACCCACTGAGCTACAGTACTCTACAATAGTAATAATCCTTACATTAATACAGTGCCTCATTACATCGTCCCAATGTCTCAAAACACTTCACTGAATTTTATTGTGAAATTGGCTGATTGACTGGGACACCACGAGAAACTCCTCTTTTCGAATAGTGCCATAGGATCTTTAACATCCATCTAACAGGCAGTCGGGACCTCAGCTGAGCATCTCATTCAAAGGACAGCACCTCCAACAATGGGGCACACCCCAAACACTATTAGTGTCAATCTAATCTGTGAATTCGCCACCTCCTGCTTCTCAGGGCCGTCACCCTACATAGACCCAGAGGCCCAGAGAGAGATACACACTCAGACACACACACTCACAGACATTCTCAAAGAGGAAGGGAGAGAGATAGAGATACAGACACACACTCATAAATACAGAGATTTACACACACGAAGACAGAGAAGAGGCGCACATACTCAGACAGAGGCGGAACACACATACACATTCACACAGAGACACTCAGAAACACACATATGTAGGACACACACACACACTTAAATATACCTACAGAGAGACACACAGAGGTACTCACTCACATAGAGGCACTCACTCACACAGAAATACACAGACAATCACAACAGAGGAGCCTCCGTGCATGTGCACTGGGAGCCGCTCCGCCCACAGTGACGTCAGGAAACCACTGAGCGCCCCGGATCTTTCATGTTGGTGAGACTTAAAAGAGTACGATCACCTCAAATCCCATCCTAAGGATAAGGGCTAGGTATCCATAAGGTATCCATAAGGTAGCTAAACCAGGGATTCTGGTGAGCAAAGTATACTACACTTCTCAGAATACAATCTGTTCAGATCAATCTGGAATCAGCCTTGGCACTAATTTGGCAACTTTCCTTGCTTCAAAAAGTGCACGTGTGGATGTCATATGAGAACAAGTTCGGGCATGATTGTAATGCCTGCCATGGTCAAATAGCTTGCCAACACTCAATATCTGGGACACATTAAAAATGAACACTCACCAAGATGCTGGATAGCACAAGGCACACTGAGAATCAAATTAGCAATCTCTGCAGCAAGTTTTATTCCTAGACAAAGACACTAAGTGCCTATAACTATTGCATGCAAGATCATTTTAATAATAGAATAATAGCTTTGAGATGTCTCAAAGACGTGATAAGGCACTATATCAAATGCAAGGATTATCATCATTATCCATGCATTTGATATAATAATAATAATAATCCTTGCATTTGATATAGCGCTTTTCACGTCGGGAGGACGTCCCAAAGCGCTTCACAGAACACACTGCAAAGTGAATTGACTGTATATTTGTGGGCGAACCGGCAGCCAGTTGCGCACAGCAATGTCCCACAAACAGTCGTAGATTGAAAATGACCAATTTATTATTATTTTTGTTTTTTGGAGGGATTATTATTAGGCGTGTGGAGTAAGGAAACTTGCCCAAGGTTTCGCCCTGCCTGGAATTGAACTCAGGTCTCTCGCTTGCAAAGCGAGTGCTCTAACCACTGAGCTACAGGACTCCACATAATACATGCAATGTTCAAACATCTCAGAGCACTTCACAGGTAATTACTGTCAATTACAGATGGGCAGATTCAAAGGAGTCACAAAGAGGCTTTGAGCAGGATTTTTTTTACTAGGTCAACTGGATCCTATTATATTTGCTAATCTGCTCTAGAAATCTTGCAATCCACTCTTAATTAAACAATGCACTGGGGACCTGGATTCAACCCACTCAGCTCCTGTTAACCGTGCAAGCCAAAAGGCCCCAACCGGTAGGATTCTACCTGACAAGCATCAATACGATTGTGAAGACAGTCCTTTCAACGGCAAGCTATGGGTTTTTAGACAAATAACCCCAGCAGTACCCCAATGCACACCAGTCACTAATCTTGGCCATTGCCAACCATTCACACTGTTTGCCCACAAAAGACATAATCACTTCACTTTACAATATATCTTTTGAGATCGCCTGACCAAATGTATGAATTATTATTAAACCTCTCTGGAATCAGGTAGGTAGGGTGCATTACTCTCAGGGTGCAGGAGAGAGAATTTGAAAACCATTACAAATATGGGAATTTCCATGTGTAGGTAGTATGTATTGGAACTCTCAGTTTGTTTTGGATACTCAATCATTTTGAAGGGTTATGTCAGATACCTGTCTAACGAAGAAAAAGATTCACTACCCTGAATAAATTCAAGTTGCCAGGTACTGACTACACCTAATGGAATTTGTATTAACCTCGAAATTTCATTTGTACCTTGCAGCATCATATAAGGCATCCACTGGCGAGCCCAATCGGTCAAGTACAGATGGGTGCCTTCTATCTGGGGAGATGCTGCAGTAACGATCGTTCCCAACAGTTATTCGCAAACTCCGATCAATTGCAGATTTCGGAGGGTAGTCTGGAGATCGTCTCTATTGAAGACAAATAATCAAAGTTATTACATTTCAAGGTATATTTCTATAGATCCAAGGTACTTTTCTATTCATATCCAACAGATGCAATACATTTTAATAAATGGGTTTATTACAAATTGCACAGATAAAAGTGTAAATAAATGCATTGAACATAAAACTGAAAACTGCATGACAAGGCCAATGATACCAGGAGCTTGGCAAGTTGCCTTACTTCTGAGGATACCCCTCTAAATAGGGAATCAGATTGTGTGGAACACCTCAGAGGGACGTATTCCACAGTCCACTAAGTTACCATTTCCAATCCATACCCTAGCTTTAGATTCTGATTCCTACATTATGAATCCAACTTGATCGTTAATGATTTGACCCAAGAACATTCAATATCACATATCCTGAACTTCATTTTAAATAAAATATACAGTAAACTCTGGATAGCTTGTCACTCCAGGGGCAACTATCCCTCAATGATTTATCTGTACTGGCGAGATGGTCATAAGTTCTCCAAGGCCACAAAGGGCGCTGTGACTGGTTTGGGCACTAGGCGTAAGTTGAGCGCGCATGCTCATATGCATCGCAGAGCCTCTGGTCCATTGGACGGGCTGCGTTGTGGCCTCCCGCCCTATCCTGTCACAGAATAGGGAGGGAGGAGTGGTGGGAGGCCACAGCGCATGGTGGATATGCGCGCCCAATTTCCGCCAAGCGCCCACACTAGTTACAGCGAGGCCTCTGCAATACCTCATGTTAAATAATGGGTTATCTGATCTATTTGATATTGCAATTACTTACAAGAATTTCTAGAATGCAACTAATAGAGAGTTAAACTGAGCGACAAGTAAAGTCCCCTATAAACATTTTGCATGGGAAGCCACCGGGAAATTGATAGCATGGCGACTTAAGTGGTAGTGACAAATTAAGACAGGATTGAGTTATCAGGAGTTTACTGTAAAACATACAACATAAGTGGGGTTATCGGCATATTCTATTTAGTCTTTAAAATGAAGACTATCTTTTAAAGATTTTCTTAAAACACTCTTTAATAAGTGCACTATGAGGTTGGCTTTAACATTATTCCCAGCTACATGAAGCAGATTTCATAGAACCACAGAAATTTACAGCACAGAAAGAGGCCATTCAGCCCATGAAGTCTGCACCAGCTTACAGCAAGCTGGTCATTCAATCCCACTACACTGCCCCATCTCCATATTTCTTTTTTCTTTCATGTATTGTCTGCTTCCCTCTTGACACCCACAATGGATGCTGCTTCTACCACCTTATTTGGCAGGGCATTCCATGCCCCAAATATTCAGTGAAACAATTTTACATACCAGATTTCCCAAGATTCTTGCAATTTTACTACCTAGTTTCATCACTTATCTCACTGCTTAGTTTTATGACTGCTTCAATTTAAACCTTTTGCATAAAATTTAGCTTCACATTTAATTCCAAGAACTTTCTATCTGGTCAAGTGTCTGACACATTGAAACCTATCAACGTGCTTAAAAGTATGCAAACCTCAGTTTCACATATCAAGGAAACTTCCCTGTGTCTGGTATGGAGTGCACATCCCTCACTGGAGCGATACATTTGCTTACTTAATTCCAGAAAGTATTTGGAATGGTCTTGCAAGAGGCAAGAGCTTGGGAGACCTCAATGTCCATTGGGTACTGCAGACGCTTAACCAGCTAACTCCATTGTGAACATTGTCTGGTAAAATTCCTGTTGCTCGCCCAGTTAAGAACACCGTACCTATTTGTGCAATATAATAATAATAATAATCCTTGCATTTGATATAGCGCTTTTCACATCGGGAGGACGTCCCAAAGCGCTTCACAGAATATACTGTAAAGTGAATTGACTGTATATTCGTGGGCGAACGCGGCAGCCAATTGCACACAGCAATGTCCCACAAACTGTCGTAGATTGAAAATGACCAATTTATTATTGTTCTTGGTTTTTGGAGGGATTATTAATAGGCTCTGTGTGGAGTAAGGAAACTTCCCCAAGGTTTCGCTCGGCCTGGAATTGAACCCAGGTGTCTCGCTTGCAAAACGAGTGTTCTAACCACTGAGCTACAGGACTCCACAAATGTATGTATAGAATAGGGAAGAATCCTGGCAGTCAGTGACTGGTGTTGCCCCTCCAAAAACTTCTGACAATCCAGGCTGGATGGTTTGTCAGTAACAAAGACTTGGGAGTACTGCAAATCCTCTTGTTTCAGGACGATCGATACCAACCAGAGTTGATTGACTCAAATCTGATATTCCATTTCTGGCATGTCACCTTGGAGCAAATTCAGCCCCAAAGTATTTCACAGAATAATTCTATATAATGTCTATTTGTAGGCAAGCACAGTAGCCAATTTGCACACTGCAATGTCCCACAAGTAGCCATGAATTGAATGGCCAATTTTATCTGTAGGATAAAATACATTTGATCGTCAACATTAACCTAAACAGGCATCTCATCTTATACTTCACACTATATTCTGTGAAGCACTTTGAGACAACTTGGCGACATGATAAGGCACAATATCAAATATAAGGATTATTATTATTATCTGAAGGAGGGCACCTCCAACAATGAAGCATTCGCTAATATTACATTAGGAATGTCAGCCTAGACACTGAGCTCAAAGTCCAACCATGGGGCTTGAACCTTAACCTCCGACTTGCAGCTGAAAGTGCTACTACTGATCTCCATTAACTGTCCATACTATCATTAACATCCACAATGTACATTATCCCAAAACACCCAGCTGACCTTGCAAATAAACTCCCATATTTTTAAAGTAAAGTACTGAGTCAGCCAGAGTTAAATGTTGTTTGGCCCCTGACCAAGAAACAACCAGGCCTTTGGGGGGGGGGGGGGGGTGACTTAACTTTCAGTGACATGCTTAAACAGCATTTAAATAAGTGTATAGAGCTGCTTTTACATGATCATCCATTCCTCCCGACACCCATACTGTTCACCCACAAAATATACGTTACAGTAAGTTATGCGAAGCGCTTCGAGACGTTACAACAACGTGATAGGGCGCTGCATCAAATGCAAATATTATTATTATTATTATTATTAAAACGGCTCTACGTGGAAACTGGGACCTCATTTTTTCGGATTTTGTGTGTGTGTATCGGTTGCTGGGGTACAGACAATAGCCTGCTTTTTAGAGAAAAAAATTCCAGCGGGTTTAAAGGCCTGAGCCGGGATCCTGAAACCTTATACAAGGAGTCTGGCCTCTTTCTCCCCTTCTCCTGCCTGCCTTCGGCGCGGGTCAGAGAAGGACATTTACCCGGTTATCTCCGTGTGAAGAGTATCCAGGCCCGTAGTCAGGCCCAAGCCCTCCAGTATCGGGTGGCGGAGTATAACGCCTCGAAGTCGGCGGCGGCGGCGACGACTGACGCCAGCCACCGCCTCCTCCTCGGTCACCACCTTCCCCGCGGCGGTAAGACGAAGCGGAGCCGGGCGACTTGGAGCGGCGTCGGGAAGACGACGAGGAGGAGGACGACGAAGAGGGAAGCGCGGAGGAAGCAGAAAGAGAAGAGAGGGGATGAGGAGGAGGAGGAGGAGGCGACGAAGCGGAACCGCGTTCACGCCATTTACCCGAGTCAGAACGGCTTCCTTGACTAGGCCCAGAAGCAGGCCCCGGGCTCCAGCCTCGGCTCTTCTCCCCCGACCTGTGCGCTCTGTTGCGGTACATTGTCTGGGGGAGTTGGGGGGGGGAGGAGGGAGAGAGGGAGGGAGGGCGCGCGACTGACCGTTAAGTTTTCAAAACCCGCCACGCGCAGCAATGTCCCCAACGGTCGAGGTGCAGGGGAGCGAGCGAGCGCGCGGCGACCACGAGCATCTGAACTGCGCACGCGCTTGACAGAGGGAGAGGGAGAGTTGGGGTATGCGCGCGAGTGGGACCGACACGCAACACCCAGAGAGAGAGCGCGAGGAGACGCTTCGACGTTAGTTGTGAACTGCGCACGCGCCCGATTAGGGAGCGAGGGAGGGAGGGGCGGGGGGGTCGTAGGGATAATCGTCGAGAGGGAACTACATCCAGTCTCCGTCTTTCACACGTGAGGCGCACCCCGAAACGGTGAGGGAATTTCGAGGAGGTTAATAATACATTATCGTATAAACTTTGACCAAAATGTTTGCTCTTGAACGGCTCAGATTTGTTTACCTGAGTGTCGTTCTCCTTCCCCACCATAGGCGGCGCTGTGCCTGATGTCAAATGACCAACCAGTGACCAGCCTCCTTGTGGGTGGGGTGGGGGGGGGAGGGGGAGAGGTAAATGGTGGGGTTGGGGGGGGGTCTCCTTGGAGCCAAACTGGCTCCAAGGTGACATGTTTGCAAATGGACTGTCTGAATGGTGTCAGATCTCTGAATTTCCAGCCAAGTGTAATTAACGATGCAAATACCAGCATTGTCGTTGATTGAACCCCACACACGCTGAAGATTGTGAATAAGCTGTCTTCAGAACTCCTTGAACGCTCTGAGGCCGCTGTGAAGGCCAGCGAGGGTGGTGAGGCTGCTCAGCGCGGCGTAGGGACGCACCAGGAGAGTTCGGAGTCTGCTGACCTGTGGAAATTTTGATTTCGGGCCAGGTCTGGCTTGATTCGAATTTCGGATACCCGAATGTACAGTAAACCTCACATAAGTCATATCAGTTGGGACTTTTAATATGACCTATGCAAAGTATGAGTTAAGTGCAGGGCTAATAGAAATTTGCGGAAATATTTGCCCAAAATTGAGGGCAAGTGAGAATGTGGGTGGCGAAGTTTGGCATGAATGAGGTTTTTTGGTATCTTTTGGAGTGAGGTATGGACGGAGGTGGGCAATGTAGCAGAGGTGGAGGAAAACGGTCCTGGCCTGGGACCAATGTGGGGTACCAAGAAAAGCTGGGGATCATATGTGGAGTCCTGTAGCTCAGTGGTTAGAGCACTCGCTTTGCAAGTGAGAGACCTGAGTTCAATTCCAGGCCGAGCGAAACCTTGGGCAAGTTTCCTTACTCCACACAGAGCCTAATAATAATCCCTCCAAAACCAAAACAATAATAAATTGGTCATTTTCAATCTACGACTGTTTGTGGGACATTGCTGTATGCAATTGGCTGCCGGGTTTGTCCACAAATATACAGTCAATTCACTTTACAGTGTGTTCTGTGAAGCGCTTTGGGACGTCCTCCCGACGTGAAAAGCGCTATATCAAATGCAAGGATTATTATTATTACCTGACGCCTAAGTTGTGCACGGATTCAGTGAGTCTTAGAGAGAGATCCGGTAGGATGAGGAGGTTTGAATCGCAGAAGAGAAGATGTTGACAGGATCGAAAGAGTATGGTTTCCGTCTTGTCAACGTTCAGCTGCAGGAAGTTTATGCTAATCCAGGCCTTGATGTCTGTCAGACAAGCTGATAGTACATCAGCGGACTGGGAGTCGCTGCTGGAGGAAGGAAGTAGATTTGTGTATCATCCGCATACATGTGGAAGTTTACCCAGCGTGTGCGGATGACATAGCTGAGAGGGATCATGTAGATAAGGAGGAGGAGGGAGCCAAGGATGGAGCCTTGGGGTACCCCAAAGATGACTGGGTGGGGGCGAGAGGAAAAAACATTGGCTGAGATGAAGTGCTGGCAGTTGGTTAAAAGAGAATTGAACCATGCGAGTGCAGTCCAACTAAGGTGGATGAGTGAGGAGAGACAGTGGAGGAGGATGGCGTGGTCAACTGTCTCAAACGCAGTAGAGAAGTCCAGGAGGACGAGGAGGCAGAGGAATCCCTGGCCACAGAGAGAAGAGACAGACACCCTCACAAACACATACATACAGAGAGAGAGACACTCAGCAGACACACGTACAGATGAGAGAGACACACTCAGATAGACACTTACAGACACGCACACATAGAGAGATAGAGACACACAGACACACTCACAAACACGTACAGAGGAGAGAGACACACTCACATAGACACACTCCCGAACACAGAGAGAGAAACGCACAGATATTTTCAACAGCGGGGCCTCCGAGTGGAATGAAGCCCATTTCCCGCTTACACCGCATCGCGCATGCTCCTCCAGACCCGCCCTGCCCACAGTTGTATTGGATACACAGCTGCCAGAGACCCAGATGCCAGAAACTTCATTTTATAGCAGAGGGCGGGGTTTATAGCGGATTCCGCAGAAAATGGCCACTCTTCTATTGGCCCAGGATGTGTGAAACTTGCATAAGTTCTATGAAATTCAACAAGGCAAATGTACAACTTAGGCATTTATACAGATCAGACTTCTACGAGTTTTGCTGTGTTACCCCTCATGAATAGCAACATTTCCAGGAATTTTACAGATACCATTATTGGACAACGAGCTGAAGGTGGGAGACATTGATTGCAATGGGTCAATTTTGTTTTTAATTGTATTTCATTTAAATCAAATTGCTCACTTTAAAATTTGTGAGTTCTTTGTGTGGTTTGGGACCTGAGACAATCAAGCTCACACAGATGGGTGAAAAATAAATTTTTCCACCTTACTGTGCATGATACAGAAGTGTATAGTTACCGATCCAGAGTACAGAATATTGTACATAGTTGCAGGAGTTTTCTTCTTAGTAGTTTTGTCTTCCTCTTCTTTCAAGGTCTGTTCCAATTTCACGCTGGTTAGTGCCCGATATTTATACATGTGAACAAACAAGTTTTTGTAACCTTGAAGACCATCTGGTTTTCTTACAGATACCGTTTCCTTGTTTTTACTTCTCACTCCCCCTCCCAACTTATTAAAACATTCCTTCACTCTTCTCTACATGATTAACATTAGCTAAGGACTGCAAGTTTTAATCTCTTCATCTTACCTTTAAAATTTATAGGCCATCTTTCACAGATTTCAACGTTTCCCACATCAACATTGCCAGACTCCACCATTGCCTCACCCCTCAGGCTGCCGAAACCCTCATCCACGCATTTGTCACATCAAGGCTCGATTATGGGAACTCCCTCCTCATCGGCCTTCCCAACTCTTCCCTTCACAAGCTGCAGTTCATCCAAAATTCTGCAGCTCGTGTACTTTCATGCACCAGGCTCCGTGATCCCATCACTCCCACCCTCACCCAACTACACTGGCTCCCCAACCCCCAGAGGATCGAGTTCAAGATCCTCGTCCTCACCTTTAAGGCCACCCATGGTCTTGCGCCCTCCTATCTCTGATCTGCTGACTCTCTACCAACCTGCCCGCTCCCTCCATTCAGAGGGCTCTGCCCTGCTCCATGTCTCCCGCCCGACCTGCCCTACCATCGGTGGCCGGGCTTTCAGCCTCTCTGCCCCCACACTCTGGAACTCCATCCCACGGTCCCTTCACCTCGCTTCTTCCCCCACCTCCTTCAAGGCTGGTCTTAAGACCCTTCTCTTCGACTGTGCCTTTGGTTTCCCTCCCACCTCTCTGCCTTCCCTCACCCCTATACTACCCCTCCCTCATGCTTGGGCCCGACAGCTGAATGTTCAGCGCTTTGGGATGTCCTCCCGACGTGAAAGGCACTCTACAAATGTAATTTTGTTGTTGTTATTGCAACTATGCCAGACTAAACAAGGACATAAGAAAAAACAGCATCTAGAAACAACAACAACCTTACATTTGTATAGCGCCTTTCACATCTGGAGGACGTCCCAAGGCGCTGAGGTTACAAAAGTCACACGAGTACAATAATTAGTGAAATTTCATTTAAAGGTACAGCAGTCATTTTCTATTACATTTTCTATTAAAGACAAAATAGTAGCAGTTCAACATATTGAGTAGTTCAATAAAGTTTCATCAATCTACAGTGTTACATTGATTATAAATATATATTTCATCGCAGCAAAGCTTAGCAACAGTGTATTTCCATAATTATAATCAGGGATCCATGTTCTAGTAGCTTTGACTGCAAGGGTGATAATGTTACTCAATTCTCATGCCATGTTTGGCCTTGTTCAACCTAAACAATTCAGCAAAACCGCTAAAGCAAAATAAATTAAAATTAACACTTAAGATGTCAATCTAAACTAAAATTCTTACCAAACTCTACAGAGATGATTGTAGTTCTAAGTGGTAGATTCTTTGGTGGCTTTTGAAGATCGAGTAGCAAGATAATAATAATCATTAATTTTAATATAATAATAATAATCCTTGCATTTGATATAGCGCCTTATCACGTCGTTGAGAAGTCTCAAAGCGCTTCACAGAATATACTGTAAAGTGAATTAACTATATTTTGTGGGTGAAACTGTATATTTTGTGACTATATAATGTGTGCATTATCAAATTGTTGACATTTTAAAGGGCTTCACTTTACTGTAAAGTGTAGTGACTGTATTTGTAACATCAGCCATATCTCATGAACATCTATTAAGTGAAAGACCAATTTTATCTGGGCCAGAATCCTGGGATGAACTCCCTTTACTTATTGAATTTTGCCTGGGGTTCTTTAAAAGTCCACCTGAATAGACACAATTTAAAATAAATGAATTGATCAAGTATGGGTTCTTAAAATTCTTGGACCCCTTTATGCTGCTGAACTCAAAATGTGTGTGTTTGTGTATGATAATAATAATCCTTGCATTTGATACAGAGCCTTATCACGTCTTTGAGATGTCTCGAAGCGCTTCACAGAATATACTGTAAAGTGAATTGACTGTATATTTTTGGGTGAAACCCAGCAGCCAATTGCACACAGCAGTTTCCCACAAACAGTTGTGGATTGACAACAACAATAAATTCAATTTGTAAGGACATCCCAAGGCACTGGACAGTCAAGGACATGGAGCAGGCTGGAGGGAGCCATGGGATCTTTAATGCCAACCTAAACAGGCATATAGTGTCAATGGTTTAACTTCTCACAACCTCTGACAATGAGTGCTTACTCCACATGGCATTAAAATACCTGCCTTAACTATGAGATCAAAGTCTTGATGTGGCACTTGAATCCTAAACCTGACTTCTCAGAGGCAAGAGTAATAATAATAATAATCTTTATATTTGATATGGCGCTTTTCACGTCTTTTAGACAGCTCAAAGCGCTTCACAGAATATACTGTAAAGTGAATTGACTGTCTATTTGTGGGCAAAATGTGGCAGCCAATTGCACATGGCAGTGTCCCACAAACAGTCATGGATTGAGTGACCAAATTATTATTGTTTTTTTTTCTTGAGGGATTATTATCAGACATGTGGAGCAAGGAATCTTGCCCAAGGTTTCACTCTGCCAGGAATCGAACCCAGGTCTCTCGCTTGCGAGGCGAGTGCTGTAACCACTGAGCTACCATCTGAACCAGGCTGATAGTCCGGCATTATTTTAGGGTTTCTTCATCCCAGCCTAGGAGAATTATTGGCCATATTAGCATTAGAGAGGTGTCCTTTTTTCCCCCCAATACCATTAGAGGATCGTTAAAATCCACCTAAACGGGCAGATTAGTATCTCATTCCGAAGCACAGGTACCTCCAACAATGTAATGCTTCCTACCAGCTGAAAATCTCCAAAGTTAAGTTTGAACTTATACCTTCTGACCCCGAAACCATAATATTACCAACGAGCTAAAGTAAAAAGCAGAAATTTGTTTTAGTAACGGGGAGGTGATAGTTTGAACAGAAATATTTGAGGATAATAATAATAATTATCATCATTAAATGTTTGAGAAACATTATGTAACTGCTGAGCGAGCTTCCCTGAAATTAGCATGTCTATTTCAAGGAAAAAGGCAAGGCAATCAAATTTTTTTTTTTGGGGGGGGGGGGTCAGCCAGGTGTATGACACATGCAGAAACCCATCACCATGCTTAGGAGTATCCAAACCCAACTGAGATTTCTATGCATCACCCCCACCCATGGAAATCCCAGAGACGGATTGTTGGGATGGAATGCGCACTCTCTCCCTGGAGGGGCACATCCCGCTTACCCAATTCCGGAAAGTATTAGGCGCAGGTTGACAGGAACCAAGACTTGGGAACCCCAGAGCGTGCGTTGGGGAAGCGGCCGAAGTCTCACCAGCAAAAAACGCATAGCTTGCAAGGCAATCGATGAAGGTTCAACCGGCTGTAGGCTGCTCTCTGCCAGGATAGGGGGCGATCTACTCCAATATCAAGCAAGATTCATCTTGTAAGGGTTCTTCATTGGTGGGCAGAATCCAGTTAATGATCAGGTTTCCGGTAGTCAGAGAACTTGCCTTGTTGGTGCCCAGCAGCACAGTTTCTTGCTTTCTTGCCACGGCGTAGTGAAAGCCGGTCCACACCAGGAGCGGGATTATAAGTGAAAAACCGACGTCCCTTGGTGGCTTTTGTAGAAATCCTTGGGAGGAATGAGGTGGTGAAAGGTGAGTTTGAGGAAACAGTTTGTTCTTTAAGTGACTGGGAACACGGTTTGGGAGTGGAACGTGATCACTTTATTAATGAGCGTACTAATTACCAGAGCACAGCACCTTGGGACGTCCTCCGGATGTGAAAGATGCTATGTAAATACCATTTCGACAAAAAAATACACAGTTAATTCACTTTACAATATATCCTGTGAAGCGCTTTGAGATGTCTCAATGATGTGATAAGGTGCAAATCCAATGCGAGGATTAGTATTATTTTTATAATTTTTTGTTGTTGCTGTTTAGTAAGATGAGAACACTCACTGGCTAAGCGCCCATGAGGATGTTTCCTTGGGTAAAATATTGGATGATTGTAGACCAATTTCTATATATTGTGCCATATATCTAGTGTAATTTCTCATTTATCAGACTAGCTCTCTCCCTGCCTCTCTCAGATCAGTTTCTGCAAGTCAGACTTCTGGCTTGGTGTCCCTATAGAGATAATAATAATCCTCACATTTGATATAGTATCTTATCACATCGTCGAGACATCTCAAAGCACATCACAGAACATACCTTAAAGTGACTTGACTATATTTTGTGGGTGAAATCCAGCAAACAATTGCACACAGCAACATCCCACAAACAGTCGTGGATTGAGTGACCAAATTATTATTTAACTTCTTTTGTGAAGGGCTTATTACCCCCCCCAGAAAGCAATCCCCCAATCGACTAACAACAGGATTCCTACTTACTGCTAGATAAATAGAGGCGTATGAAGTAAGGAAACTTGCCTGGGGTTTCGCCCTGTCTGGAAATCAAACCCAGGTCCTCTTGCTTTGCGAGGCAAGTACCCTAACCACTAATAATAATAATAATAATAATCCTTGCATTTGATATAGCGCTTTTCACGTCGGGAGGACGTCCCAAAGCGCTTCACAGAATATACTGTAAAGTGAATTGACTGTATATTTTTGGTGAAACCCAGCAGCCAATTGCACACAGCAGTTTCCCACAAACAGTTGTGTATTGACAACAACAATAAATTCAATTTGTAAGGACATCCCAAGGCACTGGACAGTCAAGGACACGGAGCAGGCTGGAGGGAGCCATGGGATCTTTAATGCCAACCTAAACAGGCATATAGTATCAATGGTTTAACTTCTCACAACCTCTGACAATGAGTGCTTACTCCACATGGCATTAAAATACCTGCCTTAACTATGAGATCAAAGTCTTGATGTGGCACTTGAATCCTAAACCTGACTTCTCAGAGGCAAGAGTAATAATAATAATAATCTTTATATTTGATATGGCGCTTTTCACGTCTTTTAGACAGCTCAAAGCGCTTCACAGAATATACTGTAAAGTGAATTGACTATGTTTGTTGGCGAACGCGGCAGCCACTTGCGCACAGCAACATCCCACAAACAGTCATGGATTGAAAATGACCAATTTATTATTGTTTTTGGTTTTGGAGGGATTATTATTAGGCTCTGTGTGGAGTAAGGAAACTTACCCAAGGTTTCGCCCTCTGCCTGGAATTGAACTCAGGTCTCTCACTTGTGAAGCGAGTGCTCTAACCACTGAGCTGCAGGACTCCTGTGGTAATAATACATTATACTATAAGTGTATTTAACGGCGAACTAAGCTACGGGACTCCATTTTGCTGTTCTCCATAACCTGAACTGAAAACAGAGGAAGACCAAGGAAAGAAGAGTGTCCCTTTCTTCCGATGTAATGCTTCCTTTTGCACAAACTTCCTACCTTCATCTTGTCGCATTAAACCAATAATAATAATATACTGTGTTTCATTTGCTAGGTGGTCTGATGCTGTGGTTTGCACCCTGACATGGCTGACTTTCTTGCCACGCTTTGCCACACAGATGTTGACAACCCATTCCCAGTATTGATTAATGGTGGCCTCAGCCACTGCTTCAATCTGTTGGTCCTCAGCGTGTTACCACACAGCTTTCTCGCTTGTATCAGTGCCTGTTACCTGGGTACTGCACGGTAAGTAGGCCCCAGTTCTCTGCTGTCTTGCCTGGTTTTGTCAGTGAGGAGAACAACAAATTACATTTGTATAGCACCTTTCACGTCAGGAGGATGTCGCAAGGTGTCTTCAACTAGTTGAGGAAACCCTAATATTGCAAGAGGAAAGGGATACAGACAATATTAGGGTTTCTTGGGTGAGTTGTGAAATTAAAATGAAAACAAAGCTTAAAATAGAGGCAAATAATAATAATATTCCTTGCATTTGATCACAACATTAAGACATTTCAAAGGGTTTCGCAGAATATATTCTAAAATAGATTGACTGTGTATTTTGTATTAGTAAATCTCAAGATAATACAAAAGAAAATTAGGCAGAATATAAAAATATTGAAGTGAAGCAAAAATGAAGATTAGATAAAGCCGAGGGGGATATAAGGAAAGAATGGCAGGTAATATAAAGAAAAATATTGAAGAATTTTACAAACATAGAAATCAAAAGAAAAGAAAAGGTAGAGCCAATTAGATATGAAAAGGGAATTTGAGTCATGGAAATTGAAGAAATGTCAGAAATACTGAAGCAGTATTTCATTTTGCTTCCGTTTTTACAGAACGTGTGATGGTGAGAAACTGTGCAAGAGGAAAATGTGCAGCAATTAGGATAACTATAGAACAGTAATACAGTACTAAAAGTAAATTGATGATAATAATAATACATGCATTTGATATCCCATTATTGAGACGTCTCAAAGCGCTTCACAGAATATATTATAATGTGGATTGACTGTTTATCTTGTGGGTGAAACGCATAGAAGACAGCAAGTCATCATGGCCTGATAGCAACATCAAGAGTAGTGAAGGAAATCGGATAGAAAAGAAATGCAGTGTAGTAACGGTGAACAAGATTGTAAGCATTGTCAGGAGGACATAGATAGGCTAGTAGATTGGCAGAGAGATGGCAGATCAAATTTAATGCTGAAAAGTGTGTACATTTTTGGAGGAAGAATAAGAAGTATATGCTGAATGGTAACTTTTTAACAGGAGTGTAATAGTAGAGAGACCTAGAGGTTAACATAGATACTGCCACAAAATAATAATAATAATCTTTGCATTTGCTACAGCGCCTTATCATCTCTTTGAGACGTCTCAAAGCGCTTCGCAGAAATATACTGTAAAGTGAATTGACTGTATATTTTGTGGGTGAAACGCGGCAGCCAATTGATGATTACAGGAGTGAGTTCGGGTGTAATGTTGAAATGACCAGATCGTATAGAAAGGCCAGTCTTGTGAGGATTGGAGAGTGCTTGGTGCCTTGAGATCAGTACTCTGGCACTAACTAGTCAGCACCATGAGTAAAAGGGATAATTGAAGATAAATAATCCTTGATCAAATTATAATAATTTGATAGAGAGCCTATTTTTTTGTGGAGTCAGCCGGGTGTCTGACACATGCGGAAACCCATCACCATGCTTAGAGTATCCAAACCCAACTGAGGATTCCTTGTATCGAAATTCCAGAGACAGATTGTCCCTGGAGGAACGCATCCTGCTTCCTAATTCCGGAAATTATTGTAGGTTGGCAAGAGCTGAGGCTTGGGGACCCCAGAGTGTGCGTTGGGGTAACTGCTGGAGTCTAACCAGCTAAAACCACATAGCTTGCCATTGAGAGCGCTGTGACACGTTTTCCCACTGCTAGGACAAACCTACCTTAAGGGCTTTGGCTTGCAGGGTTAACAGGAGCTGAGTGGGAAGACTCCCTGCCCCCAGACACTGGTCTGTCCTTCCAGGTCCTGTTGATGAGCCAGACTGTGCTGTGATCAGCAGTGACCTGGAGTACCACCTATATAACGGAAGCCCTTCATATTTAACTGCTATCAAGCTAGTCGTTGTATCTGTAGGCAAATGCAACAACCAATTTGTACGCAGCAGGTTCCCCCACGTAGCTTTGACAGGGATTCTCACATGTTTTGACGTCATATACAAATACAGTATTTACCCCATTCCCTCTTTTTCTGAAGATGCTGACTAGCACTTCTGAGTCTTTTCAAAGTGAAAAGACGCTATAACACTGCAAGTTCAGATGAGATGTTAAACTGAGGTCCCGTCTGCCTGGTCAAGTCGATGGTAAAGATCCCCTGGCTCTATTTGTAAAGAGAAATTGGTGTCTCCTGGTGTCCTGGCCAACAATCCCCCCAATAAAATTGGTCACTCACTCCATGGCTATTTGTGGGACATTGCTGTGCACAACTGGCTGCCACATTATGCCCACAAAATACACAGTAAATCCATTTTACTGTATATCCTATGAAGCGCTTTGAGACATCTAAACAATTTGATGAGGCGCAATATCCAACCCAAGGATTATTGTTATGATTTTTTTCTGAGTATTTATTTCATATTAGAAAGCTTCCTGATCCTTTCTCTCTTGGTGTTTTCTCTTCAGCTCCCGATGGAGAGGCTCGGTGTGGTGTGGCTGGCGCTGCCGGATCACAGCCTCATTTCTGCTGGCTTTGCTCTTCCTGATGGATGTTTTGGTGGTTGTAGCGTGGACTCCAGACCTAGCCACCTTGTGGCTGGAGGTGCTAGCAGGCTTGGTGTCTGCCCTGGCCTGGTTGGTTCACGGAATGGCAGCCGTAACCCTTAGCCGGCTGCCCCTTGGGTCACAGTGGGGCCCAGTGCCGCTTGGGTGCCTGCCTCTGCTCCCAATCCCTACACTGATCATTACCCTGGTGTCTGACTGTCGTCTCGGGTATCTCTCATGGGACTGGGATTCCCCGCCTCCAGCCATATTGAGATCAGCACTGGTTTGCATTGAGTTATCTCTGCTCTTTATCTACCTCCTGGCCTTCATTATCTCTTGCCTGAGAGCAGGGGAATTGGTGGAAGGTGTCTCTGAGCGGGAACCGCTCCTGCCCAGAGCAGGCTACCCTGAGGGGAGGCCTGTGGAAGAGGACGGAGCAGGCTGCCTCTCCCGGCTATTCTACCTCTGGCTGAACCCAATGATGGAGCGGGGCCGCAGTGGGGAACTGAGTCGGCCTTGTGATGTTTGCCTCCTGCCACCAGCGCTGGAGATTCGCCAGGTGGAGGAGCGTATGGCCGAGTGTTGGCAGCGATGCAGGGGAGCGAGCTGGGTGTCGGCGGGGCAGGGCGACCCAAGCAAGTCGTGGAGGGGATTAGAGCAGCCCGAAGTGGCCCCCTCCCTAGTTGAGCAAGAGGAGTTGTGTCTCCTCTCTGTCTTTCACCGGGCATTCGGCCGTCGTTACTACATGCTGGGGCTGCTGAAGCTCATGGCCAGCATGCTGGGCTTCGTGGGGCCCCTCTTGCTCAGCTGCCTAGTGACCTACATGGAGTCCGACAGCCAGCCTGTGAGCCTGGGGTTTGCTTACGCCCTCGGGCTGTGCCTCAGTACCCTGACGGCTGCCTTCCTCAGTAACCAGTTCTCCTACCAAGTGCTGAAGGTGAGCTTGGAGGCCCGGGCGGCCATGGTTTGTGCTGTGTACCGGAAAGCACTGCGGGTCAATGCCACCACCCTGTCCAGCTTCACCACGGGAGAGATTGTCAACTTCATGAGCACTGACACTGAGCGGCTGATGAACTTCTTCCCCAGCTTCCACGAGCTGTGGAGCCTGCCCCTCACGTTCGCTGTCACCCTCTACCTCCTGCACCTGCAGGTGGGGGTGGCCTTCCTGGGGGGGCTGGGGGTGGCCATCCTGCTGGTGCCCCTGAACAAGGTGATCGCCAGCAAAATCATACAGAGCACAAGCGATATGTTACAGCACAAAGACGCCAGAGTGAAGGTGAGAGTCTGCTGGGCTTCCAACAGCCAATTCTCTTCCTACCTCCGTTCTCTCTTGAAACACTCATTCACAGTGGATGCACCTACAATATACAGTGAGTCTAACCACTTGGTGTGCGTACACTGCTTCACAGTGGGTCTAACCCTACACCATGTGTATACTGTGTACAGTGGGTCTAACCTTCCGCCATGTGTATACTGTCTGTACAGTAGATGTAACTGGACGTGTGTACATTGCTGACTGTCTTGAGTTGTTTGTAGCTGATGACAGAGATCCTGTTCGGGATACGAGTGCTGAAGTTTTATACCTGGGAGAAGCACTTCATCTCGATGGTTCAGAGTTGCCGGAAGAAGGAGCTGAGCTGCATAAAGGTCATCAATTACCTGGACGCAGTTTGTGTCTACACCTGGGCCGCTCTTCCCGTCGTCATCTCCATCCTCACCTTCATGACCTATGTGCTGCTAGGCCACAAGCTTACTGCTCCCAAGGTCAGTCCAAACAGGCAGTGCTTCCTGTTAGAACCAAAGAAATTCTACAGCACAGAAGAAAGCCATTCGGCCCAGCGTGTCTGTGCTGTGTTTTTGTAATGAGCAATTGTTTCAGCCCCATTTACCTGCCGTTTCCCCATACTCCTGTAGTTCATTACGTTTTAGATATTCATCTAGATCCCTTTTGAAAACGAATATGGATTCTGCCTCAACCATCGCTCCCAGCAGAGCATATCATAACTATGTGAAAACATTTCTCCTGAACTCCACATTTGCTTGTTTACTAGCTATCTTAAATTGATGTCCTCTTGTTACTGAATCTGCATTTTTTTTTAATTATTTTACAGTGGCGCTTCTCTGTGCATGGTTATTTTAGGAAATAATATTTTGGGATACAGTTTATAGTTTGGGACATGACATGTGCATGCAACTGCCAGGATGGTGGAAGGTGAATTAGATACATTAGAATATACAGCACAGAAACAGGCAATTCGACCCAACTGGTCTATGCCGATGTTTATGCTCCGCACGAGCCTCCTCCTGCCCTTCCTCAACTAAGTCTTCAAGCATAATCTTCTATTCCTTTCTCCCTCATGTACCTATCTAGCTTTCCCTTAAATACATCTATGCTATTTGCCTCAACAACTCCTTGTGGTAGCATGTTCCACATTCCCATTACTCTGGGTGAAGAAATTTCTTCCAACTTCCCTAGTTAATCTATTTGTGACTATTTTATATTGATGGCCCCTGGTTTTGGTCTCCCCCACAAGTCATCCCTTACCCTCCTCAGGATGGACCAAGGATGGACCTTGGTCTTCTTTCGTCTAGTAATTCTTATCTTCTTATGTTTCTTTCTCTCTCTCCCTGCAGGTGTTCACTACTCTGGCTCTGGTGGAAATGCTGATCATGCCTCTGAACAACTTCCCCTGGATACTAAATGGAATACTGGAGGCAAAAGTTTCTCTCGAGCGGATCCAGCGATTCTTGAAACTCTCGGATCAGGATCTAAGCAGCTATTACACCACCAGCACAGAGCTTTGTGAGTCAGCACTCTGTGCACTATCGGCACTTTTTGGGAATGACCCCATTGTGGATATAGAAGCTGTGGGTCATCGTGCAAACTAACTCACCTGAAATGTCTTCCATCAGGAATTACATTGTCACTATAGTACCATATTATCCAGCCCCCCTTCATTCTCTCCCTGTCTGATTCGTTCTAAGTCTGTTATTTCTCTTTGACTTTCTCTTTCTGCCCCCATCTCTCTCTCCTCCTGTTAAAAGCACTACAATCATCTCCCTTGAAAAAACAACCTTCAATGCCTCTAAACTCTTGAGTTACCATCTTTGGCTCTTGTCTAAAGTCTTGAAAGTGTTGTTGCTACCGCTCCCACCTTTCTGCTCTCTGGTTGAGCCCTTCAAATCTGACTTCCGCTGTGTAGGAATGTATGGAATTCTTAGTTTGGTTTGAATTTCGCATGTGTTAGGACACCTGACTGACTTTTTAAACAAAAAGATGTACCCACATCATTGAGGCAGTATGTAATCATGTTCAATCACTCAAATAGTCTCGTGTATCCAGTAATAATGCGTGCATTCACTTAGGTAAACCAAGTTTATGCAATCACCCGGGTAAAATTGCAGCTTTGGTAATATCTCCCTCTCCACAAACTCTTGTCTTTTGCAGCCGGTCCTGAGGATAGTGGGTGCTGGGCTGTCAAGCTACATGATGCTACATTCTCCTGGGTACACCAGCGTGCTAGTGCCAGTGACCTCAGTCAGCCTGACAGCAGCTCCTCTCAGGAGGGGAGCTTGGAGCTCTGCAACCTGAACCTCCGAGTCAAACAGGTGAGATCCATTGTCATAATCATTCTGTTTCCTTTGTGTCCCTAACCCTCACTGACATCAACCTGTTAGATACCAGCCAAGCATAAGTAATTACTGTCTGGTGTGGTGATTGTATTATGTTGCTGGAGATAAATTTGCTGCTTCCATTACATTCATTGTCAACAATCCCCCAAAATAAAATTGGTCATTCACGCCACGTGTGTTTGTGGGACACTGCTCTGGCTGCCGTGTTTCTTTCATAAAATTCACAGTCAATCCACTTTACAGTAAAATCCTGTGAAATGCATTGAGATGTCTCGACGATGTGATAAGGCCCTATATCAAATGCAAGGATTATTATTATTTCTATCTAATCTCATTCTGTAAAGTGTGTTGTATTTGACATTCTAAATGTATACTGTTCACTTTTTAAGGCCAAAGCAATAGCCATTAAAACACAGCAAAGTCCCACTGACAGCTATGAGGTGATTTGCCAGTTTGTCTGGAACAATGATGACTAGAGCTTACATTGGAAAATCGAAGGAAGTTTCTCCCCATGTCCTACAATAACAAAAACAAAATTATATTTGTATAGCGCCTTTCACGTCAGGAGGACGTCCCAGTGGCTTGGAACGTCCTCCCGACGTGAAAGGCGCTATACAAATGTCATTTTGTTGTTGTTGTAGGACATGGGGAGAAACTCCCTTTGATTTTCCTATAGCACATGAGCTCTTTCAACATCCACCCGAACATGGACCTTGGTATAAAGTCACATCTGGTGATTGGAGTTGAGGTACAGATCAGCCATGATCTAATAATATGGCGGAACAGGCTTGAGAGACTGAATGGCCTTCTCCTGTTCCTATGTTCATATGTTATATGGCAGCTGTGACAATGCAGTGCCCCCCTATCTCCCCAATATGGTGCTAAAGTGTTAGCCTGGAATCTGAAGTGGAAAGTTCTGACTGATTGAAACTCACAAGCTTCTGACACAGAGTTGTGAGTATGACCGACTGAGCTAAACACACACTATTGAGGTAAATAAGGAACAGGATCCTTTACTCATTTTCTGCAGCCCAGGCACTGAAGGGAGCAGGGGACCTCTGTCCTGCTTGTGTTAGCTCCCTTTTGTCTGTCTGCTCCTGCAGCCCAACTTTGCTTCATTCTCTCCCACAGGGGGCGCTTGTGGGTGTTCTTGGGAAGGTTGGCTGTGGCAAGAGCTCCCTGTTAGCAGCTATCACTGGAGAAATCAACAGGTACTGTTCAGAAGAGTTTAAGGTTGGATGTGTACTCTCTGCCTTTAGCTTTAACTTGTAATTATTTTAAAATAGAGGATTTTTGGCCATTTCTCTGGGAAATCCCCTTCTCTTTTCAAATAGGATCCTGTGTTCTTTAAAGACTTTAAACAGGCAGACAGGACCTATTCTTTAAAGTCAAGCGCATTCATGCAAATAATCTTTTTATTCCAATGTTTATTCCTGACAGTCCCTGCAGGGATGGAGCACATCTTTGCTTTATCAGTCACCATGTTTCTGTGTCGCTGCAGGAAGGATGGCACAGTGTCTGTCTCGGTGCTGGAGCGTGGCTTTGGCCTGACTACGCAGGAGGCCTGGATCCAGCACATGACCATCCAGGACAACATTCTTTTCGGCAAGGAATTTGACGCTAAACGCTACCATGACGTGATCGAGGCATGTGCTCTGTCCGAGGACCTGAACGTATGAGATCTATTACTTATTTTAAAAAGTTTTTTGATTTTAATTTAATTGTTTTCTGTTTTCAAGGCATCTAAGAAGTTTGAGGGGTGATCTAAACCGCATTTAATGTAGTGTTGTTCACTTCGGGAGGACTTCTCAAAAGCTTGATTATAATTATTATAATTATATACTATAATTCCCTTTATTTACTGTAAAGTGTACTGACTGTATATTTTGTAGGTAAAGTGGCAGCTAATTTGCACACAACAAATGAATGTCACACAAACAGCCATAAAGTAAATAACAATTTTTTTTCTGGTGGATTGTTGGCCAGGACACGAGAAAAAAATCCCTTTTCTTTAAGAATAGTGCCATGGGATCTTTAACATCCACCTGAACAGGCAGGCAGGTGTCGGTTTAAGATCTTAATGTCTTCAGTGTCTTTTGCTGTGCGGAAAATTGAATCCCCCATTTACCTACAAAATACAGTCACTACTGCTTCATAGTAAATCCAATCCTTCACAAGATTGTCTTTGAGACCTCCTCCTGATATGAAAAGTGCTATACTAAATGCAGGGATTATTATTATTATTATTATAAATACATAAGTAAGTAAGTGTTTGAAGAAAAGAAATAGTAAAGGATCTGGTGGAGTAAATAGGAAAGTGGGATTAGATCCTTCGGCTCGTGGAGAAAAACACAAGCATGGAGTTGTTAGCCCAAATGGCCCGTTTCTGTGCTGTAATACTCAATGGTTTTGTGCTAGAATTTGAACAGAATTAATATGTTTGATGTGTTTAGTGGCTGCTGTTGAGTGATGGTAAGAGCACTGTCTGCCAAGCTTTCCCGTCGCTTGTCCAGCTAGGACAACATTACCCACTAGGGTAAACAGGAGCTGAGTGGAAGGATTCCCTGCCGCAAGCGATTGGTCTGCCCTTCCAGGTCCTGCCGATGAGCCAGGCTGGCTGGGCTGTCATCAGCATTGTCCTGGAATACTGGGAACCCGCCTGGCTCCAGAACTGGACAACCGAGATTGCCACAGAGGGCTGGCTCGATTCCGACATTTCGTTACCAAACATGTCACCTTGGAGCCTGTTCAGCTCCAAGGAGACCCCACTTACCTTCACCCAAGGAGGATAGTCACTGGATGGTTGTTCGACATCTGACAAGCACAGGTTTGAGCCTTCATTAGGTGGACGGTAGACAGCGATAATCAATGGCAAGCTATACTGTTTTAGCTGGTTAGACCCAATTACCCCAACGCACACTCTTGCCAATCTGCGCCTAATAATTTCTGAAAATAGGTAAGCAGGATGCATCCCTCCGGGAGAGAGTACACATTCCATTCCAACGATCTACCTCCAACAATGGAATGACCGTGTGTAGGTGGGATGCATGGAATTCTCACTTTGGTTTGGGTTTCTATGTCAGACACCTGGCTGACCCCCCACAAAAGTGATGGTGACAACAACAACAAGATTCCATTTATAGAGCGCCTTTCACGTCAGGAGGACGTCCCATATGACAGAAGTTCCAGCAGGTATTGTGCTGTTCTCATGTTTGACTTGTGTTTTGGTGCAGATGTTACCAGCCGGTGACCAGACGGAGGTTGGGGAGAATGGGATAACCCTCAGTGGGGGGCAGAAAGCCCGTATTGCCCTTGCTAGAGCCGTTTACATGGTAATACCTGAAGTCTGTGTATACGTTATGAGTGGGATGAGACGTGGTGTGGAACTTTAGGTTCTGTAAATCTTAGAGTCTATACTGATAGGATGAGCGTGCATAGGTATAGGAGCCACACCAGTTCTGGTGCATGCTGACTTGGGTAAATACAGAGAGATGGGAGTGTGCACTGAACTAGCAACATACAAGGTGTCCACAGAGTCCTGTTACTCCCTGTTACAAAACAGCAATGTGAGACTACAGAAGAGCTGAAACAAGCATTTTGCACCAGATCATCATCTGCCATGAAAATTATGGCGCTCTCACACACTAATCCTTTGGACGTCTAAATACGATTAAAACTTGTACTGAATACAATTAAGTGCCTGTAAGTACAATTAGCATCATTCTTCCACATGTTTTAGTTATTAGTGAATGCACTGGAGGAAAAAATTATGGGGCTAACAGACCTTTATGGATATCCTGTACATTGTCCTGGGATTATAGGCTGTCCTGGGAGCAGGCACTGACTTGGGTAGCACAGGGAGATGGGAGCACACTGCCCTGGGCATCTCTGAGTGAGCGCTGTCTCTGACAGGACCAGGACCTGTATCTCCTGGATGACCCGTTGGCTGCGGTTGACTCTGATGTTGCTGGTCATCTCATGGAGCAGTGCATCATGGGAATTTTAAAGGACAAGACCAGAATCCTTTGCACGCACCGGGCAGAATTCCTGAACAAGGCCGACGTCCTGGTGCTGATGGACAACGGCCGGATCATCCGAGCAGGTATGTGGCTCCAGCTCGCAGCTCGCATTCTCTTTGCTGTTGTCCAGTAGCTAGGGACAGAGCTACAGGAGCTGGAATGCATGTGAGCGGGCGGGCAGGGGGGGGGTGTGAGCAAGCAGTGTAAGGATGTGAATGGTGGTTTGGGGGGGTGTGAGCAGTGCGGGGGATTCAGGGCGCAAGCAACCAGTGGCGTGATACGAGAGTCCAGGGGTAGGCTGTGGGGTAGCGAGTGGTTGAATCAGGTAGGCCAGTTTCTCTGCCCTTTTTGTCTGTCTTCAGATTGCATCTGAAGACTTTTCTCTTCAACCATGCCTAAGGTCACCTGCACTTTTTCGGCATCAAACTGTGGCATTATGAAGCTACCCTGTGTGAAGGGCACAGTATAAATGACCTGAAGACATGTCCCTGTCTCTCTGAGCCAAAGTCCTGGCTGCTCTGTGCTGGTAACTGGCGCAGCAGACGTATCTGTTCGGTGAAGTTCCCCTGAAAGTGTTTGAATGATTTCGTAATCCCTTTGCCAGACACTCCAGCAGAAATCCTGCCACTGGTCCAAGCAACCTCCAGTATCCACAGCAAGGCTCCGAGTCAGCAACCTGCAGGTCAGTCTGCTTCTCCCCTCTCATTTCGTGCTCTCTTGCTGAGATAAGCTGGTTATTCACCTCGTGGTTGTGTGGGACCTTCCTCTCTGCAATTTGACTGTTGGGGTTGTCTATGAAATCAATTACCAATTGACAGCAATCCCCGGTGAAGCACTTTGAAATGTTTCTATGTTACAAAAGCCTTGTATTTGCTGTAAGCGTTCCAATGCACTTCTTGCTAGTCTCCCCATCTCCACCATTCACATAGTCCAACCAGTTAAAAATTCCACTACCTGTGACATCTCCCGTACCAAATGCCATACCCCCATCATCCACAGTCCTTGCCAGGCTGCACTGATTCCCTATCTCAGATCGATTTCAAGATCCTCACACTCACCTACAAATTGCTTCAGTTCCTAGACTTTTCTCTTCAACCATGCCTAAGGTCACCTGCACTTTTTCAGCATCAAACTGTGGCGTTTTGAAGCTACCCTGTGTGAAGGGCACAACATAAATGTAACTTACTGTAGTATCAACATAATTTTGTTTTTTAAAAAAATGAAATGACTCAGAATCTGCAATGAAGGGCAGTGCTATTGTGGTGGAGGAGGAGGCCTATGACATTGTCTGCACGGACAGCGTCCAAGTGTCTGAGGAGGACAAGAAGGTGGGAGCGGTGACGCTGCGAGTGTACAGTGCTTACTGGCACGCAGTTGGCTGCTGCCTGGCATTTTCCATCCTCGTCTCTCTTCTACTGATGCAAGGTAAATCAGTCGGGTCCTGATCCCTGATTGTTCAGCGCCTTGGAACGTCCTCCCAACATGAAAGGCGCTTTAGAAATTTAATTTTGTTGTTGTTGTTTAAAACACCCCTTTGCTCAATCTGTCTAATAGGATGATGAGATGTATCGAGTCTTTGCCTACTCCCTTAGAGCAAACAGCTGTGGGCCACATCCCTTGCTGTCTGTAGAGAGCTCACACACAAAATGGTTTCCATGGACATGTTTTGGTTGTGTTCAGGAGATATGGTTGTGGAGGGTTATAGTAACACTAATAATCCTTGCATTTGATATAGCGCCTTATCACATTGTTGAGAAGGATCAAAGCGCTTCATAGAATATATTGCAAAGTGGATTGACTGTGTATTTTGTGGGCGAACATGGTAGCCAGTTGTGTACAGCAGTCTTCCACAATCAATCGTGAATTGAGTGACCACATTTTTCTTTTTTGGGGGGATGGGCTTATTACCCCCAAAAAGCAATCCCCCAATCGACTAACAATCGGGTTACGACTTACCGCTAGGTAAACAGAGGCGTGTGGAGTAAGGACACTTTCCTGAATTTCACCTTACTCGAGAATCGAGATTACAGAGAGTTACAGACACAGACAAGGCAACTAGTACACATTGGGTGTCTGGTCTCAATTTGTGAGCAGATCAGGCTCTGTAATGTATTTGACATCTGGTGTCTGTTTCTCTAATAGCTTCCCGGAATGTATCCGACTGGTGGCTCTCCAACTGGATCTCCAACCTGCAGCACCAAAGCAACATGTCTGGCAATGGCTCCTCCACCAGCAGCAGCACCTTTCCACACCTGCTGCTGTTCTATTCTAACCTTTTCATGTGAGTAAATGGAACACTTACCCATGAACTTCAGTTCTATTTAACTTTATTCAATAAAATATATAAATCTTAATGTTTCACAAATCTAATAGTGAGAAGGCAGGTGGTGGCAAGGCAAGAGGACAAGGCGGTAAAGAAACTGAATCCAATCCGGTTTTATAAAAAGTGGCATAAAATATATACACCAACGAGTTAATGCTTAACCTGTACAATAACAATCCTTGTATTTGATATAGCATCTTATCATGTCGTGGAGAAAACGTACCCCAGATTATATTGTAAAGTAGATTCACTGTGTTCTGTGGGCAAAACACAGACTGTCTATTTTGTGGGCGAAACGCGGAAGCCAATTGTGCACAGCTAATAATAAGTGATTAGTTAGACTGCAGTTAGAGTATAATATCCAGTTTTGGTCACTCCACTGTAGGAAGGATGTCAGGGCTTAGAAAGGGTACACGGATTTACTAAAAATGATACCACGGATGAATTTGATCTATGAGCAGAGACTGGAACAACTGAGCCTATTTGCACTGGAACATAGAAGATTGAATGGAAACCTGATTTGATAGGGATAACAGGAAGAAATTATTTCAACTGTTCAGTGAATCATTGACAAGAGGGCATCAATTTAAGATAGTTATCAAAGGGGGAGATAGTTGTTTCTTTGTGCACACGGAGAGTTGTTGAGTTGTTAGGACTGCCAGGTGTGGTGGTGGAGGCAGAATCCATATTAGTTTTCAACAGGAAACTAAAGAAACGTTTAAAAAGGAGTAATCTGCAGGGATATGTGGCTAAATGGATTGTTCTTTCAGAGAGCAGACCATTGGGCTGAATTCTTGTGCTGAAAATGTCAATGTTCTATGTAGGGTACTATGAGACATTTCTCTAATGTGATAAATGCAAGTTGTTATTGTTGGTCTCAGATCCCCAGTCACAGTCGGAGGGAATCTCTCATCCCAAGTCAAGTTCTACCTCACAGTGTATGGGTGCATCGCAGCATCCAACACGGTCTTCACTGCCCTGCGTGCCTTCCTGTTTGCATACAGTGCTATCCGGGCTGCCACCACCATCCACAACAAGCTGCTGAAGCAAGTGCTGAAGGTGAGGCTTCTGGTGGACATTCCTGCTGGGCTGCCTAGACAATCAGAAATATGTGTATGGGGGGCGCAGGTGGCAATTTGATGCTTGTATCAACAACAACAACTTGCATTTATATAAGCACCTTTCACACAGTGTAGTGTCCCAGAGTGCTTGACAGTGGCGGAGCACAATAGATATAATAATGAAGTAGTATCCTTTCATTTTGCACTGGGAGAGCTGCATTGTCAGAGTCATCTTCCTTTAGATTTATATGAAACCATAATACCCGTCTGCCTATTCAGGTGAATATTAAACAGAAAGGAGTTTCTTTCAATTTTCTGGCCAGCATTACTTCCAGATCAATTTCTCATTTACATATGGAGAGATAGTCATTTACAGTGATCAAATTGGCAATCCGTTCACCTACAAACACACAGTTACTAAACTTTACTGAGATTCCCAGTGAAGGGCTTTGAGGCATTTCGCTGTTATAGGCACTGTATCAAATAGAAGGATTTATTGATTTTAGTTATTTATTAAGTCCATGTTAGACAAGTGATGATCGACCTGTCTTAGGGAATGTGGACCATTTTTGACCCACCCATTCAGCCTGGTTCAATCAGTCACGCTCTCTCCTCAGGCTCAGAAAGTTACAGATTCAAGCCCCATCAGGACTCTGAGCTCACAGCCAGACTAAGACTCTAGCGCAGCACAATAGCAACTTGAGTTTGTATAGTGTCTTTCGTGTAGAATAACTTCTTGGAGCGCTTTACAAAGATGGATGCAAGCGAGGAGGGAAAGATGGAGGGGGGTGACCTCAGGTGAGGAGGAAAAGATAGATTTTTATTCAGTCCTATGCACTTTCCCTAGCATGCTTTTGCACCTCTTCTCTGTGATTTTCTACCCAACTCCTCTGTTCTCTTCCTCCGCTTGGACATGTTGCACATCCCCCACTACCTTTGAGCAACTGCCTGTAACCCTTTGACAGCAATTTCTGTGAAGTATTTTGAGACGACTCAACATCAACAACAAATTACATTTGTACAGTGCCTTTCACGTCGGGTCTCAATGTTATTAGATACTTTATTAAACACATTATTATTAGTACTAAGTGTGTTACCCTGAGATAAAGTGAACTGTGAGACTGGATTTGAAGTGCTTTGTTGCTATTATTTTCAGGCCACAGTGACTTTCTTTGACATGACCCCCGTGGGCCGCATCGTGAACCGCTTCTCCTCGGACCTGTACTGCATGGACGATACGCTTCCCTTCATCCTCAACATATTCCTGGCCAACCTGTTTGGGTTGCTGGGCACCGTGATTGTAATCATCTACGGGCTGCCCTGGATCGTGCTGATGCTCCTGCCTCTGGCCGCATTGTACTTCCACATCCAGCGCTATTACCGCTGCACCTCACGGGAACTAAAGCGGCTGAGCAGCCTGAGCCTCTCGTCCATCTACACACAGTTCTCGGAGACGCTGACTGGCCTCAGCACCATCCGGGCCTCGAGGGCCATGGACAGGTTTGTGACGGCCACCACCAACAACAACAACTTTTGTATAGCACCCTTCATGTCGGGAGGACAGCCCAAGGCACTGGGGGACAGTCAAAGATATGGACCCAAACTGGATCAGGAGGGTTAGAGGGCAGGAAGGGTGGGGGTAGGAGGGTGGCCAAAGGTACTGTCAAAAAGGAAAGTCTTAAGATGGGCCTTGAAGGAGGCAGGGGAGGGCTTTGAGTTATCAGCTCACAGTCCTGGCTGATACATCAGTGCGATACTGAGCAGTGTTTTATTGCCAGTGATGCCATCCTTTGGATGACATATAAAACCCAGCTCCCATCTACCTGTTCAGGTGGACGTTAAAGATCCATTGGCACTATTTGAAAAGAGAAGGAAGTTCTCCTGATGACCTGGCCAACAATCTTCCTCCTCCACTGATAAAATTATTAATTCACTTCATTTTTGTGCACAAATTGGATACTGTGTTTGCTATCTGCAAAAACACAATCACTGCGCTTGATAGCACGTTGTCTGTAACTTGCTTAAGACATTATCACATAGATGGGGATTAATACAAGGATTATTATTTGCTTTTCTTCCGAAGCCAAGCACCAGCTCAGAGTCAGCACTCTGCTGAAGTGGCTTGTATGATCCACACCCCCCACCCTCCCCCCCCCACCCTGAGTCTTGCTTCCCACGACATTGTCCATCTGACCTGACTGTCGCCGTGGTGTCTGTCGCAGATTTGAGTGGGAGAACGCGAGCCGCCTGGAGACGAACCAGCGCTGCCTCTTCGCCTCCGGCACTGCCATCCAGTGGCTGGACATTCGCTTGCAGATGGTTGGCGTTGCTGTGGTCACCGCCATTGCTGCTATTGCTGTCATTGAACATCAGATGAAAGTCGGGGACCCCGGTGAGTTGTAGACACTTCAGTGCCTGATAATCAGGCATTTGGTATTAATCAGGTCTCCTGCAAATAGAGGATAATCAGAGGCTCCAAACGGGCAGCCAAACCAAGGATTTAGATTGCAAAGGACAAATAGCAAGACAGTGTACTTCAGGGCTAGAGACACAGTGAGAGCTCTGTATCTCAGGGCTAGAGATACAGTGGGAGCTCTGTATCTCTGGGCTAGAGACACAGTGAGAGCTCTGTATCTCAGGGCTAAAGACACAGTGAGAGCTCTGTACCACACACACTAGAGACACAGTGAGAGCTCTGTACCACACACACTAGAGACACAGTGAGAGCTCTGTACCACACACACTAGAGACACAGTGAGAGCTCTGAACCTCACACACTAGAGACACAGTGAGAGCTCTGAACCTCACACACTAGAGACACAGTGAGAGCTCTGTACCGCACACACTAGAGACGCAGTGAGAGCTCTGTACTGCACACACTAGAGACACAGTGAGAGCTCTGATTGCACGCACCGGAGACCCAGTGAGAGCTCTGTTCCGCAGGGCTATAGATACAGTGAGAGCTCTTAACCTGCAGCACAGTGGCTTTAGCCATTGAAATAACTGCAGCAAAACTAAAGGACAGTGTTACACAGTGAGACCCAAGAGAGTCATTCTTTATTTGTTTCTGTATTATACTGGAGATTGTACTGGGGAGTGCTGCTTTGCTATAGATGCTGACATTTGGATGAAATATTAACCTAAGATCCAGACATTAAAGATCCCATTACATTATTCGAGAAGGGAGTTTTTCCCAGTGTCCTGACTAACAATCATCCGGATGAATCGGTCACTCACTTCACAGCTGTTTGTGGAACTTTGCTATGAACAAATTAGATGCTGTGTATACTAACACTCATCAGCAAATCTCCACGAAATACTTTGAAATGTTGATGCTATAATTGCTGTATCACATAAAATGATTATTAGAATTATTCTCATGACAACACAAAATACGGCATTTGGTATTAATCAGGTCTCCTGCAAATAGAGGAATTTATTCTCTTTTTCTTTCGTGTTTTCTCTTACCTTTCCTCTTTTCTACTTTCTCTCCTAATTCTGTCCTTTTTCTGTATTCCCCTCTCTTCTTTTTCTGGCTGTTACTTTCTTTCTGTATCTCTCTCTTTCTCATGTCTCTCTGTCACATGCTCTATCTCACATACTCTCCCTCACTTACTATTACACACGATCTTTCACAAACCCTTTTTCTTACACTCTACCTCTCACACACATTACTCCCTCTCTTTTTCTCTCACACTCACTTACCCTCATACGGTCATACTCATGTCCCCCTCTCGCTCTCTCTCACTCTCTTGCTTCTCTCTGTCATATTCTCTGTCTCACGTACTCTCTCTCACGCACGCACACACTCACACACACTTTCTCTGTTACATTCTCTGTCTCACATACTTTTTCTCACACGCATTCACACACTCACTTTCTCTCACACACTTTTTCTCACACTCTGCCTTTCGCACAAACTTTGCTCCCTCTCTCTCACGCTTGAATACTCCTTGTGTTTCTCTCTCTCACTTTCTTAGGGCTTGTGGGGCTGGCCTTGTCCTATGCACTGTCCATCACAAATGTGCTCTCTGGCCTCGTCTCTAACTTTACGCAGACAGAAATGCAGATGGTGAGCGTGGAGCGAATAGAGGAGTATTCAACAGAAATCCCCACGGAGCCACAGCACAGTACCCTGCAGGTGAGAGAGGAATGGCTCTGGGGAGTGGGGTGGGGGTGGCCAGTCTGGTTACAGGAAATGGGAGAACTGTGTTCCTACTGTATCTCTCCTGTGATTGGGCAGTGTGCACAGCTCTGCCAGCCTCAGAGTCCACACCAGAGGGAGAAGGCCCACCTTAGAGGAACTGTGTGTGTGATGTAATGGGGATACGGAGTTTAGTACGGGTGGGTACGTAGGCAACGGAGCTGGATCCTATGCATGGTGGGGCTGGGGAGACTGGCAAAGAGGGCATAGGCCAAGGAGGTTGAGGAGGTCAGTGCCGCAGGATAGAAGACGTTAACAGGAGCCAATGAGTATGGGTTCCATCTTGTCAACATTGAGTTGTAGGTAGTTTTTGCTCATCCAGGCCCTGATGTCCACCAGACAAGCAGGGAGAGTGTTGGCAGACCAGGAGTCACAGCTGGAGGAGAGGTAGATTTGTGTGTCATCCGGATACATGTGGAAGGGTCTGTGGATGACATCGCCCAGAGGGAGCATATAGACAAGGAAGAGGAGGGGGCCAAGGATTGAACCACAGGGTACACCACAAGTGACCGGGTGGGGGAGCACGAAGAGAAGCTGTTTGAGGAGATAAAGTGAAGACGGTTTGTTAGGCAGGACTTGAACCAGGCTAGTGTGGTCCCACTAAGGTGGATGAGGGAGGAGAGGCAATGGATGAGGGTGGCATCGTGGACTGTGTCGAACACAGTAGAGAGGTCCAGGAGGATGAAGAGGCAGAAGACCTTTTGATCTGAGGAGGAGTTCAGCCAGGATATAAGGGCAAGTTGTTCCCAGCACTAAGCTGAGTCTGTGTGAGAGTGAAAATCTGTCAGAGTGACCTCCCCAATATGTAGGTTTTGGTTATTAGAGTTTATTGTTGTTTTCGATCACAGCTGATTCCCAGTTCTCTCCCATTCCCCCCAAGTCTGCTACAATAATAATAATAATCAGTGCATTTGATATAGCGTCTTATCATGTGATTGAGATGTCTCAAAGCGCTTCACACAATATACTGTAAAGTGGATTGACTGTATATTGTGTGGGCGAAACACAGCAGCCAATTGCATTCAGCAGTGTCCCATAAACAGTAATGGTTTGAGTGACCAAATTTATTTATTTTTTGGATGGATTATTATCCTCGGAAAGCGATCCACCGATCGACTAACAACCGGGATCCTACTTACTGCTAGGTAAACGACAACAACAACAACTTGCATTTGCATAGCGCCCTTCATGCCGGACGGCATCTTGGAGCGCTGTGGAGTATGGAGTGAGGAAACTGCCTTAAGGTTTTGCCCCGTTTGGGAATCGAACAAGGTGAGCGTGCTAACCACTATGCTATGGTTTATTGTTGTTTCTAGTCACGGCTGATTCCCAGTTCGTCTCTCAAACCCCCTTAATCTGCTCCATTAACACATTAAGCTCAGTGAATGTTATGTTAGTATACATTGATCAGCTACCTCTTTATTCCAGGTTCCTGACACTTGGCCTGCCCAGGGTTTGGTGGAGTTCCGGGACGTGGTGCTGAGGTACCGGCCAGGACTCCCTAGGGCACTCAACAGGGTTAATTTCCAAATCCGGGTCGGTGAGAGAGTGGGGATCGTGGGCCGAACGGGATCCGGGAAGTCCAGCATGTTCCTTGCACTCTTCCGCATGGTGGAACTCAGCGAGGGTCAGATTCTTATCGACGGCATCGACACCAAAGCTGTCAGTCTGGAAGAACTTCGGTGAGTTACAGCCCATCCTCCACCTCTCCAGGGGAAGCCCTGCCTTATCACAGATTCTATTCCTTAGAAGAGAAGTTAAACCAAGGTCTCTGCCTGTTCATGTGGACAATAAAGATCCCGCAATGTTATCAGAAAAGAAAAGCTCATTTCTCCTGGTGTCTAAGCCAGCAATCCAGCAGATACATCAGTCAATTTGTAGTTCCTGGGCCCAAAGTAGATGCCACGTCTGTCTACAAAAACACATGTACTGGACTGCCTGGGCAGTCGGAAGTAGGGAGGGCAGATTTTTGTACTAGGGTAGCACTGCATTGTCGAAGGTGCCGTCTTTTTGATGTCACATTAGACCATGTCCCGTCTGTCTGTTCAGGTGGATGTTAAAGAGTAGGGAGTTTCTTTTGCTGGTCTGGCCAACAGTCCTCCAGATAACAAAAACAGAAGTTGCTGGGAATACTCAGCAGATCAGGGAGCATCTATGGAGAAAGGAAAGTGAGTCAACGTTTCAGGTCCATGACCATTCGTCACCAATTCTGACTCACTTTCCTTTCTCCATAGATGCTGCCTGACCTGCTGAGTGTTCCCAGCGACTTCTGTTTTTGTTTTCAGATTTCCAGCATCTGCAGTATTTTGCGTTTTGTCCTCCAGATAAATTGCTTATTCACTTATGTGCTCAAATTGGCAACCACATTCACCAACAGAAACACAGTCACTGCACATCACACAATTCCCTGTGAAATGCTTTGAGACATTTTGATGAAATCAAGGATCATTATTCTAATAAGGTGTGAATACCGGTGAATTGTTAGTCAAGACACTGGGAGAAACTCCTCTTTTTTTTAGTAGTCTTAAAGCATCTTTAATGTCCAACTGCACAGGCAGATGGGACTTTGATTTAACATTTCAGCTGAATAATGGGAATTATTTGTTTATCTATGATTTAGCTATCTATTTATCTATTGACTTAGCCATCTGTTTATTTATTTTTCATTTATGTATTTATTTATGTGGGAAATTATAGTTTGGTCACTCAGTCCACAACTGCTTGTGGGACATTGCTGTGTGCAATTGGCTGCTGCGTTTTGCCCACAAAATATAGTTTACAGTATATTCTGTGAAGCACTTTGAGACGTCTCAATGCTGTGATAAGGCGCTATATCAAATGCAAGGATTATTATTATTATGGCATCTCAGTCAATTCAGTGCTCCCCCAGACAGACAAGACTAGCGTCAGCATGGACGGTGAGTCTTAAAGTTCCCAACGTGAGGTTTGAACCCAGAACTTCTGAGCCAGAGTTGAGAGTGCCACCAACTGAGCCAGATTGACATGGTGCTTGCATTTTGCAATGGTCCAGGTCCAGGCTCGCCATCATCCCACAGGATGCCTTTCTGTTCAGCGGCTCAGTGCGTGAGAACCTGGACCCCTTGGGCCGGCACACTGAGCAGCAGCTCCTCCGCGTGCTGAAGCAGTGCCACCTGCTGCAACTGGTCAACAGAATGGGTAGGTCACACACACACTGCTGACTGGTGCCGTCAGATTTCACTGTGTGTAGCAAATGTCAGGCACCCAGTGAGAACGTGAGCACTGCTTCTGTAGGTGTGTGTGCATGCAACAGACTGTATTTGTGCATGTGTGTGTGTCTGTGTGAGTGAGAGGTGTGCCATGTTTGTATGTGTGAGGAGTGACGTGTTTGTGAGACATAACATGTTTGTGTATGTAAGTCGTAACGTGTTGTGTTTGTGTGAGGTGATGCGTTTTTGTGTATGAGGCGTGTCGTGTTTGTGTGTGTCTGAGAGGTGTGATGTGTTTGTGTATGAGATGTGACGTGTTTGTGTGTGAAGCGTGACGTGTGTGTGTGTGAGGCGTGACAGGCACCATTGATTTGATGCCCCTGTTTCTGTACCGTAGGTGGCCTAGGGGCAGAGCTGGGAGAGAAGGGCAGGAATCTGTCCGCCGGACAGAAGCAGCTGGTCTGCCTGGCGCGGGCACTTCTCACTCAGGCTAAGGTACAGTCAACAGGTCATACTGGCGTGGCTCCATGTTTGCATGGTGTCATCCCGTGTGTGTGTGTCATGGGTGTGTGGCCATGTTCCGCCCACAAAATACAGTCAATCCACTACAGTATATTCTGTGAAGCGCTTTGAGATGTCTCAACAACATGATAAGCCGCTATATCAAATGCAAGGATTATTATTGTTATTATTATGGCGTCAACCCTCCACCCACAACCACTGCTATTTTTAAAAAAAGTATTCTCTTGGTTTTCCTGGGGTAAGGCCCCTCCTTACATCTAATTAATTTGGCTGCTTGTCTTGTTCTTGGGTGTGAGATGTTACTGGCACAGATTTGCTGCTGCATTTACTTCCACGACATTCCCTTAATTTCTAACCAATCTAATCTGTGAAGTACTTTGAAGTATTTCTTTTACGGGAAAGACTTTGTGTAACTTAAGTGGTTTGGTGGGTTCGAGGTTATTTCCAGTCACGTTAGAATATATTGCTTCAACATCAAGTGTAGTAACTGCTGAACGTGATGCACATTAGGGCATGCTGGTGTGGTAAGATGACTGATTAATTTCCTGTACTGGTGGGTGATGAGCTTGGTTTGTTGTTTTCACTCAGGTACTGTGCATTGACGAAGCCACCGCTAGCGTGGACCAGAGAACAGATCAGCTGCTGCAGCAGACAATACGGGAGGAATTTGCAGATAAAACTGTACTTACCATTGCACACAGGTAACTGCTCCGCACTGAGCTATCAGGGGTGTGTGGTGTACAAACAAGTGCTAGGTGGGGAGCTTTGCCATCACTGGGGTAGAACTTGCAAGTGGTGGGTGAGGATAATCAATATATTGCTGTAATTAAACAGACAAACAGGCTGTGACGTTCTTTAGCATTGAAGGAGTGTCTTAGTCGAGCCCTCTGGATTGCTGCTTCCCCATTCTGTTTCTTAACAGTCGCTCTCTCCTCAGGTTGAACACAGTGATGGATTCAGACCGGGTTCTGGTGATGCAGGCCGGAAGGGTGAAGGAGTTTGACTCTCCCTTGGTTCTCTCCCAAAAGCAGAACTCACACTTTTATCAACTCCTACATTGCTCTCAGGACTGAGAGAGAGATCAGGGGCCACCAAGAGGTAACTGGTGTCTAAGACTGTCTGTTCCAGTGCACTCCCCCCCCCCCCACCTGGACATACGTCAGCTCCCCCTTAACCACCCTGCATCTTTGAGCTGTTTGGGTGTAACAGACAAATGGTGCGGATGGCTGTTTCTCCATTGTGTGATGTAAGGTTTGCTTATTCTCTCAGGCTGAACACACATTGATGGAAACGGTGATGGTTAATTCTTTCTGAACCTTTTCCTTTAATTATTGTACTGTACGTACTTTCAGAAATATTTTCAGCTGCTTTTATTAATGGTGAAAGGAATTATTTTTTAATTGTGGTTTGGATTCTCTTTGGCTCAGTGTTTAATGAAGGATACAATAGGTGTTTATTGGATAGGATGAGAGGGTGGGATAACAACTTTATATTGATACGGCACCGTTAAGGTTGCAGGCAATTGTCAAGTGTCGTAACCGCTGAATGTGATGCACGTTTGCGAATGTTGTTGCAATAAGATGAATGATTTCAACGCCTTGAGATGTGAAAGGTGCTATACAAATGTAATTTGTTGTTGATTAATTTATCTGGAGGTTGTTGGTCAGGACACGGGGAGAAACTTCCTTCTCCTCTCTAATAGTGTTATAGGATCTTTAACATTCACCGGAACAGGCGAATGGAACAGCAGTTTAATGTCTCATCCAAGAGATGGCACTTCCAAAACTGCAACACAACATTCCTCCAGTACTGTGCTGCACTGTGAGCTCAAAGTCGTGATATGGGGCTTAAATTCACATCCTTCTGGCCCAGAGACAAAATGCAACCGAACTAAAATTACAGCTTTGTCTCTCATTCTGCTCTCCTCTCACTATCCCCCACCCACTGCAAAGATAGAAGTTTTGAGTGACAGCTGATTAGTGCAAATCATTTCTTTATTCAAATCTTGAACACACAGGGAGAAGGTATCAAAAATAATCACATCTCATCTTCACATTATGAAAATTCAAAATAAATTATCTACAATGAGTATGAAAACCAAAATATTAAATATTATATACAGGTTGAAACTGGTGGAGAAAGGCACAGTTAGGAACACAGGGACAGGAGTCAGCAATTCAGCCCCTCAAGCCTGTTTTGCCATTCTATTAGATCATGGCTGATCTGTACCTCAACTCCATGTCCCTGCCTTTGCTCCATATCCTTTGATACCCTGACCTAACAAAAATCTATCCATCTGAGTCTTGAAATTTTCAATTGATCCAGCATCCACAGTCTTTTGGGGGAGAGAGTTCCACATTTCCACTATGCTTTGTGTGAAAAGTATCCTTTTTTCGGTATATCCTTTGTGGAGTTGGTGCTTGGCCTCAAGTTCCTGCATCTCAGGCCATCCCGGACAGTGAGAGGCATCCTGAGTGCTGGAGGGTCCCACGAGGAATGCCGAAAGAGTATGTGTGTGAGAGAGAGAGAGAGAGAGAGAGATACATTCTGGTTGCTTCTGACTGTCTAATTGACAGCCCTGGGAGCTGACTGAAACATGCAGGAACTTGGATCAGCTGTGATCCAGTTGTACTGCTTAGAATAGTTCCATATAGAAGGGCAAACTCTTACTGGTTAGCTAAAGGCCTTATCTCACTTGGCTTATGATTCCTGACCAGCCAAGAGGCATAGACATAGAGAGAAGGGAAAGGGAAGCTATTACCTGATGTCTTCACCTGACTTCCATGTGTGTGCAGCTTTCAGCTGGGTGTAGGGGAGATTAGATACAGACCACTCTCTCCTTCCTCTCTTGCCTCCACTTGGAGTCACACCAGTACAGCTTGCAGTATTCTGGACCATTTTACCAGAAGTCGCAACATCTCTTGCCTGCTCGATGCTTGATGTTGGTGCCAGCCCCTCTCTCAGTTCACCCACCGTCGCTTTCCATCCTCTTTTCCCCTTAACCAGGGAATAGCAAGCAGGGCAAACTTTCTGTGCATTTAAGTGCTTTGTATACATTGCGACTTCCTTCCCTGCCCTCCAGGGGGCGTGGGTCCACATTGGCAGCAGGGCAGCGCCCCAAACATTGTGGCTACATTAGATCAAGATAAAGCTCCTTCCTGCTCTCGGGAGCAGGGGGTTGTAGGAAGCTAATGGCCCCCTCAGCTTGGCCCCTCTCTCCCGATCGGGGGGGCTTGCGGGAGGGCTCTTCTTGCCGCCGGCACAAGAGCATCACAACGACCGTCACTGAGACCAGCAGTGCCGTCAGGGCCCCGAACACACTCAGGCCGACTATCTGGCTGTGGGCTAGTGCTGAGCTGGGTTCTGACAGCAGCTCCTTCACCTCCACCTTCAGCAGCCTCTCCTGTTCCCGCACGGGCTGTGTGGGGCTGGCAGCGGGTAACGCTGCCAATCCCTGCCGAGTGGCATGGTCTGGCTGAGGAATGGTAATCCCAGGATCTCGGCGGCTCAGCGCTGGCCGTTCCTTCCTCCACTGAGGGACAGGTAAAGAGCAGGTCTTCCCAGAGTAGCCTTTAAGACAGACGCAATCAAAGTCGGCCACCCGGTCATAGCACCGACCACCATTCTGGCATGGACCGCTGGTACAATCGTCCCAGTTGACGGTGCAGAAGCGGCCTTCAAAGCCCTGTGGGCATATGCAAGAGAAACGGTTCACTCCATCCCGGCAGGTGGCACCATTGGCACATGGACGCATCAGGCAGTCGTCGACGTCCTCTTCGCACCTCGGCCCCACAAAGCCAGCCAAGCAACGACAGGTGAGCGTGTCCGCAAAACCGTCCCGGTCCAAGCACGTCCCACCATTCTTACAGGGAGACCTGAAACCAGGAGAGTGAAAGGAACTTAAGTCAACAAACCTTTCCATATTCTGCAGTTCCTCCCCTCACCAGGAATTGTCTGACCCATCTCCTCACTCCAGTTCTCATCTGCAGTATTTTCCACTATCACCTACCCGGAGTACTCCTTGACACACACATACTCACTCTCTGTCTTAGTGTAACAGGCACTATACAAATGTAATTTTGTTGTTGTTAGAGCCTCACTCAGTGCAGGAGCTAGGAGTTACACAACTATCATTAGGTGGAGATGATCCTAAGATCTGCAAGGATGGTCCCGGATATGCTAATAACAATAAGAATAATCCTTGCATTTGTTATAGCGCCTTACCATGTCATTGAGGCGCCTCAAAGCGCTTTACACTAAAGTATATTGACTTTGTATTTTGTGGGAGAAACGAGGCAGTCAATTGCACACAACAGTGTCCCACAAACAGTCGTGGACAAGTGACCAATTTATTTTTTGATTTTCAGACCTTTATCTGGGGGGCAGGGATAATTATCCCCAGAAAGCGATCCTTGAATCAGCCAGGTTCATGCTTACTGCTGGGTAAACAGAGAGTTGTAGAGTACGGAAGCTTGCCTAAGGTTCGCTCCGCCCGGGAACCAAACCTGCGTCCTCTTGCTTGTAAGGCGAATGCACTAATCACTACGCTACGGGACTCCCAATACAATGTACATATGAAGAGAGGTGAGCTAAATTCAAGCTTTTCCCACTGGAACAGAGTAGGGTAGGGGATGGAGGTGATTAAGGTTCTGAGGGGATGCAACAAAGTAAATTGGGGAAAAATTATTTCCCGTCAGTTGGGGAATGGGTAACACGGGAGACACCTTGTTTGCAAAAGAATCAGGGAGCGGTTAAAAGGATTTCTACACCACAAATGGCTATTGAGTCTGGATTAATGGGATCATTCCTTTCTTCAAAAGGGAGCTGGATAACCATCTTATCAGTGAAAGTTTTAGAAAATATGGAGAGAGTACTGGAAAATGGGATTAATAATCCAGGGTGATTATAGGTAGAAAGGCAGAAACGTGATGGGCTGAAAGGTTCCTTCCATACTAAAAATCTGTTTTGATTTTAGAGTTTGGAATGGGGAAAATCCATTGACCAACCAGCCTGTTGTTCCACAGCTCCTCAACATTAGCTAATTACATTTGTGTATATCGCGCCTTTCATGTTGGGGGAAGCGCCAGGTGAAGTGTAACATTTTGTGGGAAAGCAGTGGTCAGAGACCCAACAACAACTTGCATTTATATCGCGCCCTTCATGCAATATAGTGTCTTAGAGCGCTTAACGATGGCGGAGCATGACATCTGGGCCTCTTCCTCTTTGCTAGTTACATTATCGTTCCCTCCCTACACATGTATACACACAGATACATACACACACACACTGATCCCTGAACTCCTGCCCCCACTTGTGGCATCAATAATTTTCCATCCTTTTCAGCAAACCATTTTGTTCCGTTCCCCTCACCCCCATTACTGGTCATTGCCCTCGACTGCAGCTCTGACCTGGACTTAGTGCAGGGTCCTGCCCGCAGCTCACAGTTCTTCCCATAGAAACCATCCGGACACGAGCACCAGTGCTCGCCCTCGCCTGTGTCGAAGCAGCTCCCACCATTCTGGCACGGCTGCTGGTGGGTGCAAGCATGAATGTCTGTTGGTAAGAAGAAATCTTGCATTCAGTAACATTGCAACATAAGGGCAGGGCCTGTGTCAGACCCAGAGCCTTACATTGATACAGTGTCTTTCACATAAAAATCTCAAAGCACTTTGCAGAATAAATAATAATAATCCTAGCATTTGATATAGCTTATCAAGTCATTGAAGCATCTCAAATGGCTTCACAGGATTTACTGTAAAGGGTAACGACTGTATTTTGTAGGTGAACATGGCAATCAATTTGTGCACAGCAATGCCCCCAAATGGCCATGAAGTGAATGACCAATTTTATTAGATCAATTTCAGAATTAGATCAATTAGACATCAAGTAAATATTATGTGGACCAGCAGCACAGCTAATTTGCAATAATTTAGGGACGGGGAGAGGGTCAACTTTACATCCACAAGATAGACAGGACCTAAATCAATGACTTAATTGATAAAGGTCTGTAAATAATTCATAGAAACTTGTTTTTAATGTTAAATGTTTTGTACGAACTTACCCTTGTCACAGAATCGTCCAGCCCAGTCAGTCTGACAGATGCATTGCCAGGGTTGGTGACAGGTGCCGTGCACACAGCCCGGAGAACGGACACAACGTTCACACAGCTCCCCCTCCCAGCCGGGATCACACCTAGAGACAGAGAGAGAGAGGGTCACTAAGTACACCAATACCTGACACATGTCCAGCATTCCCCTTCCCCAGCAGCTTCTCTTTTAACAACAACTTGAATTTATATAGCATCCCTCATGCAGGGTAGCGTCTCAGAGTACTTTCATCCCCCAAGAAGTATCAACACTTCCTAACCACACTCCAGAATCTGCCCCGAGTAGCTATAAGCTACTCGAGACAGCCGTCATCACCCCCATCCTGAAAAAACCTTCCCTGGATCCGTCCCTCCTCTCCAGCTACTGCCCCATCTCTAAACTCCCATTCCTCTTCAAGGTCCTGGAACAAGTCATCGCATCCCAGCTCCGCTCCTTTCTCACCATTCCCTCTTTGAACCCCTCCAATCCGGCTTCTGCACTGCCCACAGCACAGAAACAGCCCCGGTCAAAGTCACTAATGACATTCTGAACATCTGTGATCAGGGCTCCCTCTGCCTCCTTGTCCTTTTTGACCTCTCTGCCACCTTCGACACTGTCAACCACTCCATCCTCATACACCTTCTCTCTGCTTTACTCAATCTTCGCAGACCTGCCCTTGCCTGGTTCGATTCCTATCTTTCTCACCGTCTCCACTTCATTGCCTCTAACAGTCTCTCCTCCAGCCCCCGCACTGTCACTTCTGGTGTCCCCCAGGGCTCTGTCCTTGGCCCTCTCCTCTTTAATATCTTCATGCTCCCCCTTGGTGACATCATCCGCAGACATGGAGTCAACTTCCACATGTATGAGGATGACACTCAACTCTATCTTTCTGCCTACACCCTCAACTCCAGGACCACTGCTGTCCTGACAGACTGCCTGTCGGACATCAAGTCCTGGAATGAGGGCAAATTACCTTCAGTTGAATGTGAACAAGACTGAGGCCCTCCTGATTGGCTCGCGCCAGCGCCTCAGCACCTCAGGCTCTGGCAGCATCAACCTCCACGGTTGCACACTACAACTCACCAAACCAGTCAGGAACCCAGGTGTCTTGTTCGACCCTCAATTGTCTTTTCCCCCCACATTCAAGCCATGACCCGCTCTGCCTTCCCTCAACTCCGTAACATCGCCCGACTCTGCCACTACCTCACCCCTCAGGCCACTGAAACTCTTGTTCATGCCTTCATCACCTCCAGCCTCGACTATGCAAATGCCTTCCCAACTCCTCCCTCCACAGACTGCAGATAATCCAGAACTCTGCAGCCCGTGTCCTCTCCCGCACCAAACTCCATGATCCCATCTCCCCCACTCTTGCCCGACTCCACTGGCTCCGTATCCTTCAGAGGATCCAGTTCAAGATCCTGGTCCTCACATACAAAGCCCTTGATGGCCTCGCCCCATCCTACCTCTGTGACCTCCTAACCCCTTACCAACCTGCCCGTTCCTTCCGCTCAACCGGCTCTGGCCTGCTCCACGTCCCCTAAAACCACCCGGCCCACCATTGGCGGGAGAGCCTTCAGCCACTCTGCCCCCAATTTCTGGAATACCATCCCCCAGTCACTCTGCCTCGCCCCCTCCTTAGCCTCCTTCAAGTCCCGATTCAAGACCCTCCTCTTTGACCATGCCATCAGCCACCCCCCTTTCCCTCCCCTCCCTTAACCCCCCAACCCCAGCTCGGGTCTGAAATGCTGTACTCTGTCCAGCGCCTTGGGACGTTCTCCCGATGTAAAAGGCGCTAAACAAATGTAATCTTGTTGTTGTTGTTGTAACCCCTGACGGTGATCATTGGTGGGGTGTTACCCCTCCTGCCCTTCTCAGAAACACATACACCTTAATAATAATCCTTGCATTTTGATATAGCGCTTTTCATGTCGGGAGGACGTCCCAAAGCGCTTCACAGAACACACTGTAAAGTGAATTGACTGTATATTTGTGGGCGAACGCGGCAGCCAATTGCACACAGCAGTGTCCCACAAACAGTTGTAGATTGAAAATGACCAATTTATTATTGTTTTTTGTTTTGGAGGGATTATTATTAGGCTCTGTGTGGAGTAAGGAAACTTGCCCAAGGTTTCGCTCGGCCTGGAATTGAACTCAGGTCTCTCGCTTGCAAAGCGAGTGCTCTAACCACTGAGCTACAGGACACCTGCCAGCAGGGGTTACCTCATAGCGTCAGTAGTGGGTGATCCCTGGTTCATTTATAGCCCAAGACCCTGCCCCCCCCACCCCCACTGACACCAGTTGTCCAGTACTGTCACTATCAGATGCACTGGCAGGAATGGTGGCAATGCCAGGACCTGTGGTGGCTCTCACAAGGCTCAGGCACTGGGAAGGAAACGATACAAACTATATAGTGGCAGGACTTCACAAACTATACTTATGACCATCCCATACCTGCATTCGCTTGACTCACAGCGACCATGTAATAGGTTACAACCAGGATTACACTGCACGTCTTCTGCACCTAGTCAGAGAGAAAGAGAAAACTACTCAGTCAACAGCCCACCCTAACAAAGTGCCTTTCCCTGGACAGGCCAGGGCTATAGCATTGACCCCTTGCCCTTCCACCTTAGGTAACAAGGTCACATAGCAGTCTCTGATCCTATGACAGCACAACTCATAACCTGTAGAAATTGATACAGCACAAGCAAATCCCCCCCCCCCCCCCAATCCTTTCAATCCCACGGATTGTCATCCCTTCCGCTAGCCTCCCCACCCCAAACAACTAGCATCCCTTCACAGTCAACACTTCATGACTGCATGAGTGGCAGAATCTCCCCTCAGTGAAGATAGTTAGGACAACGGCAGCCAGACATGGCAGTCAGTTGAACAGGAGACAGTTACAGTAGGACAGTCAGTCAGACAATGGTGACAAGACAGTGGAAGCTGCTAACTTGTGCTGCTTATACCTGAGGCCATGCTGGGCGAGCACAAAAAACAGGCCAAGCCCCACAGTGGAAGTCCCCAGTCTCTGATCCCTCTCATTCTGAACTGGATGGACCTTGGTCTTCTTATGCCAGCAAATTCTTATGTTCTTATATTCTCGTGTTCAATATGATGCCTGAAAGAGAAAAATGGATTTAAATAAAATGTACTCTTCCCACAGCCAAGAGGGTCAGAAACGAGGCTAAGAGCTACTCCCACAGTGCTAGCCTGTTTCTGAGCTGGTGATTGCAACCAAAGCTACAATTGGCCTCAGTGCTCGTGGGTGAGTTAATAATAATAATTTGTACATTTGTAAAGTGCCTTTCACGTCATCCAAAGTGCTTCACACGATACATTGTAAAGTGGAGTTATTGTGTTTTGTAGATGAGCGCAGTTTCATACATATGCATTTTTAGCTGTTTGAACACCTGCAGTACCCCAATGCACACTCGGTGGATGGCAACCTTCACCTAATACTCCACAGAATTTGGAAGCAGGGTGCATGTTAAGCGCTCTGAGACGCTACCCTGCATGGAGAATGCTATATTAAGTGCAAATTGTTGTTGTTGCATCTTTCCAATTAAAGAGTACACACTGTAATTGAAACACACAGAAATTTCTATGTGTGTGTGTATATATATTTATATGTATATGGAGATTATCCTCCGGTGGGGGTGTGGGGAGAGGTAAGGCGGATCTCCTGGGAGCTGAACTGGCTCCATTGTGACAAGCATGGCTAAGGAATGTCGGAATCGAGGCAGCCCACTGTGACGGTCTCTAATCCGGTTCCTGAGCCAGGCAGGTCCGCAGTATCCCAGGATACTGCTGATGACAGCACAGCCAGTCTGGCTCATCAGCAGGACTAGGAAGGGCAGGCTAGTCACAGCAGGGGTAACAGTCCTGTAATAGTAATAGTAAAAGTCCTGTAATAGTCCTGTAGCTCAGTGGTTAGAGCACTCGCTTTGCAAGCGAGAGACCTGAGTTCAATTCCAGACAGGGCGAAACCTTGGGCAAGTTTCCTTACTCCACACAGAGCCTAATAATAATCCCTCCAAAAAACCAAAAACAATAATAAATTGGTCATTTTCAATCTACGACTGTTTGTGGGACATTGCTGTGCGCAATTGGCTGCCGCGTTCGCCCACAAATATACAGTCAATTCACTGTACAGTATATTCTGTGAAGCGCTTTGGGACGTCCTCACGACGTGAAAAGCGCTATATCAAATGCAAGGATTATTATTATTATTATTATTAACAGGGTTGTTGTTGTTGGTGGGTGGGTGAGGGACCAGGCATATTTCCCACAGACACAAACTCTCCCTGAGGTAAACCACCAGCAAGAGTATGTAATAAGTAGGAACGCGGTATCCTGCCTATTCCACCGGGTGGCACTGTCCGACTGTTACCAGGACTGCCCTGAAATAACTTGTTCTTTCAGTATCCAAACAACTCAGTGTGACATTACTGTCAGGTGAGGTGACTATTTTTTGGTCACCAGAGCATGCGCTTGGCAGATGTTATTCTAAGTGTATATGTACGCCACCTACATATGAAAATGGAATGTGGACAAAGGGAATGAGAGGAGGTGATGAGAGAGAAAGGAGGTTATGAGGAAAGAAGGAGAGCTGATGAGGGGAGTGGAAGAGGTGATGGATAGAGAGGGGTGGGGGGAGAGTGAGGATAGAAAGAGGGGTGGTGATTCGTGATGAGAAGGGAGAGAGGTGTTGGCAGGAGAGAAGAAATGATGAGGAAATGAAGATGAAAGGCTGAAGAGGCGGTGCAGGTACTCAGAGGTTAATGGAGTGACTGGCTGAGATCCCAGACTTGGCTGAGAGCCCCACAGTCTGCTCTTCACCCTTTCCCTGCGGGGACAGGCGGCGTGCCGCCGCCACGTGGCTCCAATCTATCACCAACATTTCCTGGAGCTGAGCCATAGTCGCGGCGTGTCTGCTCAGCCCAGTAGCACCTGAGCATTAGCAAGGCCAGAGATATACACCAGAGACAAACCAGGAGCAAGGCCAGAGACATACACCAGAGACAGACCGGAGCAAGGCCAGAGATATACATCAGAGACAGACCAGGAGCAAGGCCAGAGATATACACCAGAGACAGACCAGGAGCAAGGCTATAAACACCAGAGATGGGAGGTGCGCTCCTCACACCCTCCTAATTAAGATTGCTTCATAGGAGCGGGGAAAACCTTTAATAACTGCCCCAGAACTAGGCATTAGTGTTTAGGAGGGCAACTGTAATAACTGCGCCAGAACTGAGCACCAATGTATAGGAAGGTAACTAATAAATGCCCCCAGACAAAGCACTAGTTTACAGGATAGAAACTAGTAATTGCCTCAGGGTGTATTACCTCCAAATAAGAAGAATAAAAATAATCCCAGAAGTCTATATAGTACCTCTAATGTCAACACATCTCCACTTCACAGAATTTACAGTAAAGTATAGTGACTCTGTATTTTGGAGGCAAATATAGTAGACAATTTGCACCAAGCAAGGTCCCACACACATCCATGAAATGAATGACCAATTTTGTTAGGTGGGGGGAGGGGGTGGTTGTTCGGGACACAGGAAAAAACTTCTCTTCAAAAAGAGTGCCATGAGATCTTTAATGTTCATTTGAACAGGCAAAGAGGACCTCAGTTTAACATCTCATCTGAAGGATGGCACCTCTAACTATGCAGTGTCCCCAACACTGTATTGGAGTGTCTGCAAGACTAGTCAAAGTACCGATGCAGGGCCCAAACCCACAACCATCTATCTTAGAAACACGAGTGCTACCAGCGTCAAGGCGGATATCTGACCACCTCTAATAACTGTCTCAAGACCAGCACTGGTCTATAACACATCTCTAGTAACAATCTAGTCAGGTCTAGACACTGGTTTATAGTCACTGTCTCAATGAAGAGTTCTGTAGCTCAGTGGTTTGAATACTCGCCTCGCAAGCAAGAGACCCGGGTTTGATTCATGGCAGGGCCAAACGTTGGGCAAGTTTCCTTACTCCACAAGCTTGATAATAATCCCTCAAGAAAAAAATTAATAATAATTTGGCCATTCAATCCATGACTGTTAGTGGAACACTGCTGGGCGCAATTGACGGCTACGTTTCACCCACAAATATACAGTCAATTCACTTTACTGTGAAGTGCTTTGAGATGTCTCGAAGACATGAAAAGCGCTATATCAAATGCAAGGATTATTATTTATTATTATTTATAATAATTGCCCTGTCCAGGTTTCTCTACCATTATACTCTATTTATTAAATACCAGTCTTAGTGAGTGAGGAATAAGAATCTTTGTGCATTTGACGCAAAACTAAAAACGTCAGAATATCTCAAAGTGCTTCACAAATGTGACTGTGTTTGTAGGCAAACATGAAAGCCAATTTGCACACAGCAGGGAGGTCTCTCATACTCAGGAATGAAGTGAATGACCAGTCTTATCTAGAGAATTGTTACTGATAGTGTTGTGTCATCTTTAAATGTCCACTTCAACAGACAAACAGGGATTTGGTTTAACATCTGATCTGAAGTATGGCAACCTCCATCAGTGCAGCACTCCACCGAGAGAATCAAACCTGGGTCCTCTCGCTTGCAAGGGAGTGCTCCAATCAATATGCTACAGGAAAGTCTGAGCTTGCTCTGATGCAAGAGTATGAACAAGCTGACGCCTAACGGAGTGTGTGTAGGATGTCCCATTTATACTGCTGTGTAGATGGCAGAAAGCTGAATGGATCAAGGCTCGGATGTGGGGTTAAAGGACAGTTGAGAATCAAACAAGGCACCAAGGGGTTGTGCACTGGCTCCTTGAGGTGCAGTGTACTTCCATGTAGGTCGGCGCCTGAGATGGGAAGGTGCTGATGCGAGCCAAGCAGGAGAGCCTCTGTCTTGTCATTCAATGGGAGAAAATTAGCTCTCATCCTGAACTTGATGTCTGGCGGACAATCAATCAGGACAGCAGTGGTCCTGGAGTCGAGGGTGGACTTAGAGAGATAGAGTTGGGTGTCATCCGCATACATGAGGAAGTTAATGCAATGCCTGTGGGTGACATCACTGAGTGGAAGCATATAGATATTAAAGAGAAGAAAGGAAAGAGCCCTGAGGAACAACACATGTGACTGTGCCGGGGCGGGAGGAGAAGCAGTTGGTAAATATGAAGTGGAGATGTTGGGATAGGTAAGAACAAAACCAGGAAAGCGCAGAACTATGAAGCTACAGTCGAGTGGAAAGAATAGAGAAAAATACAATGGTCTATAGAGTTAGAGAGTATTAATGCCAAAAGCACACCGCTGTGTACCTGGTGTAGCCTTCGTCTATACAAATGAAGGTTGAAAATATTCCTAAATCCCATTTGGTAGACAGGTTGTTTTTATAAGAACCGCAAAAAAAAAAGGCTGCCAAATTGACACTGACTTGAAAAATTGAGACAAAATGCCCTGAAGTGAAATATCGGGCAAGTGATTACAAAAACTTACTCAGAAATAATACCCTTTTAAGACTGTGTGGAGCCCTTTTAAGAGCAGGTGAAGCCGTTTGGGGTGTAATTTAAACCTCCGAGTTTGCCTCTCTCTCTCTCTCTCTCTCTCTCTGAAGATCGGTGGAAAGGTGAACCATGACGAGGTGGGGATGGACGTCAGGTACACAGTAGCATCGCTGAGAGAAAGCCCGAGCGAGTGAGTGAGTGAGTGAGTGAGTGCATAGTAATGGTTGAGTGAAGCGATTCCGAGTTAGAAGGTCTGTCCGGGCGCTCACAGCGAGAGATTGCGGTAGAGAGCAGATCAGAAAGGTGACAGGGAGGACATCTGCACTCACACACACTCACTCACTCACACACACTCACACACACACACACACTACAGTGATAAGGATCAGAAAGGTAAGCGGTGACAGGGAGGACATCTGCACTCACACACACTCACTCACTCACTACACTCACCCTCACACTCACTACAGTGATAAGGATCAGAAAGGTAAGCGGTGACAGGACGGACATCTGCACTCACACACACTCACACCCTCCAGTGATAAGGATCAGGAAGGCGGGTGTCCTGGCAGCCCGGGGGGTGGGGACAGCCCAC